GTTTCCAATTAACCATGACTAATTAACTCTTTTTTCTATTTCCTTTGTTACTCTTTTGAATGGCTACAATCTCATTTCTATTCTCTGGAATGACTTAATTACAAACAACAAAAACAAAATCAATAGAATATCCCTTATTACCGGGTTAATGGAAGTCATCGAATACCATGGATGATTATTGGGATTTCTTGAGTGGGCGGTGGTGGGTGGGTTGGTGTGTAAAACCACCCTCATTAGACAAAATGAAATTGTCATTTTCCTAAATGAATTCAGGCAGCAATTTTCGTTTTTCTCCAGATACATACACACACAGAGTTCCAAACAAATTGAAGGGAAACAAAAAAGAAAAACAAGCGGGAAAGCTCATTGTGAAATTTCCAAAATTCTAGCCCCTGTGTGTGTGTTTGGAAACGTGTGCCAGCAATTCATCAAACAAAACGAAATTCATTTGCTAAATAACAAAACGAAAACTATGACTCATCACAAAAAGTAAACAAAATCCCCCAGATAATCCCGCACACAAGCACAAACACACACGCACACCCAGAGAGAAAATGCGCATTTTTCTGCCTTATGACAATCACAATAATTTTCTGCACTACCAAGGATGGATATCCCAAGGAACTGTCAAGGGCAGTGCAGTCCTGCCATGGCAAAGCAAGACAAAAACACCCCCCATTTTCCAAGAATGATAAAATGTTATTCTTTGTTATTTATTCGATATCAACAGTCTTTTTGCTTTCTCGCCATGCTTTCTTGGGTTTTGAGTCATAGAAACACCTGCCGGCAAAAAAGGATAGTTAAGGGTTGCTAACAATAGAGAGAGAAAAACAACAACAACAACATATTTCCCAAAAAGTCCATTTTTACACTTGCCACAATGGAGGATCATAGCTTCTCTTAGAAAAATAAACAAATCGTAAAAAAATAATATTTTCATTTAATTTATTTTAAAACTTGCATCTACTCAAAGGGTTTTAATGTAAACACCATAAATCATGCTTTAATTTAGGATTTATGGTAACTCTGTATTAAATGACACTTGGCGGTAAATAAGTAAACATCATAAAAAAGAAAATGTGAGAGATAGAGATATACTCTCTGAGTAATGTGAAAACCCGTAAGTAAACAAAAAGGAAGACGACCCAAAATAATGCTAATCGGCAAATGAAGGAATATCAGTAAAGAAAAATAATGAGAGAGTGAGAGGGAGCAAGTGTGTGTGTGGGTGATGTCTCCGTTAAATGGATATAAAAATAATTAAAAAATGAAAAAATACGTGAGAGACGAGTCACAGTGTTGCTACTCGGCATATGAAGGAATATCAGTAAAAAATGATGGAGTGAGAGGGAGAGAGTGTGTGTGGGCAATGTCTTCGTTAAATGAAAGTAAAAAACCATTGCCAAATAAAAATAATGGCGAACTAATAAAGAACTATTTGGAAAATAAACAAAAATATTTGAGAAAGAGAGAGAAAGGGAGTGGGTTAATAAAAAAAAAGTTGCCCAATAAAAATAATGGTGATCTAATAAGGGACTACTTGGAAATAAAAAAAATATTTGAAAAAGAGAGGGAGAGAGAAAAAGACCGAGTTAATAAAAACTGAATATAAAAACCATTTGCTCAACAAAACAGTGCCAATAAGGGCATTGATGGGCAAAATAATGAGATTTTCTTAAGGGAATTTTGAAATAATTTTCCTGAGTTGAATTTTAACACATTTAATAATTTTTAAGCGAAAATATGATCAAAATTAACTCAAAAATTATTTTATAAAAATAATTGTAAAAAAAATATTTGTTTATGTCAGAGACTAAGAGACGGCAACGCTAGCGTGCCTACTTGCACATCTATGAATAAGGAACTACTTGGAAAGTAAAAAAAATTTGAGAGTGTGTGAAAGAGAGAAAATGTCAGTTCAAACCTGGGAGAATTGACACAAATATTACCCGGTAATATCTCCGTTTAACGAATATAATAACCCATTGCCTAATGAAAATAATGCCGAGGCACTATTTGGAAAAGATAAATAAATATGAGACCAAAAGTGAAAAAAGGACTGTTTGAGTTCTCGGAGAAGCAATCAAAAGAAAACAAACTATTTGGAGTAAATATAAAAGAAAACCGATATAAAGTGACAACGATTCAACAAATGAGTAAATATCCAATGTGACAGAGAGGGAGGGATCGAGAAAACAATATCCCATCGATAAGAATGCGATACAAACAGGTATAATAGAGAAAGACTATTTGAAAAGGATAATCCTAAATAAAATAATATGTCAATTTACTGATGGGTTCGAGAGATAATATTTAATCCAATTGTTTTTTTTTTTTTCTCTTTCTTAATTTATATCAAGATGCAACTGTCAATCAAGGTAAAAAATGGGGATAATGTTAACAGGCAAGGGTAAAAATAAATAGGAGACCAAAGGAAGAAGATAAGGATAAATATGCTAAGAGTTCTATTCGGATATGAGTGTCTTTGGGAAAAATAGCAGTCATTTAGAAATTTCTTTAGACAATTTTTTCAATAAAATTTGTATCGGTGTAAAATTCTCTTTACATAAAAAATTTTAATTAAATTCTTTTTCGGATAATTTTTTCCGTGAAAAATCTTATGTTAAATCTCTTTCGGATAAAATTGGATACAAACTTTTCTATAAAAAATTCCTTTTCGGATAAAATTTTCCCATAGAAAATTTCACTTAGGTCAAATTTTTCTAGAGAAAATCCTACAAAATATCTTATTCTGATAAAAACAGATACGAATATTTAAAGAAAATCTTCCACGGATAAAATTTTATCCACATAAAATTTCACGTAGAATAGATTTTCCTATAGAAAACTTTGTTCGGATACTTTTATCTCATTTGGATAAAATTGGATAAATTATTTTTATACAAACTTGAGGTCGTACAAATTATTTCATCAGATTTTCATAAAGAAATTCCTACGAAAAGTCTTATTCCGATAAAAATTTTATGGAAAATTACGAAGTAAAAAATTTTCCGTAAAAAATCACCTGGATCTCATAGAAATTTTTATTCGGATAAAAATTTCCCATAGAATATTTTGTTCGGATAAATTTTTTTTCCACAAAAAATTTCACGTAGACTAGATTTTCCTATAGAAAACTTTGTTCGGATAGCCTTTTCTTAGTTAAATTCTCATTTGAATAAAATTGGATAACATATTTGTATACATAATTGACGTCGTATAAATTTTTTTTCATCAGATTTTCATATAGAAAATCCTACGAAGTCTTGTTCCGATAGCAATTTTATGAAAAATTACGAAGTAAAAAATTTTCCGTAAAAAATCATATGGATCTAATAGAAATTTTTATTCGGATAAAAATTTCCAATAGAATATTTTGTTCGTATAAAATTTTTTCACAGAAAATTTCACTTAAATTAGATTTTACCATTAAAAACTTTGTTCGAATAGCTTTTCCTCAGTTAAATTCCCTTTTGGATAAAATAGAATAAAAAAATTTATACAAAACTACATTTGTTTGAATTTTTCTTGCAGAAAATTTTAGCTGCAGCAGATTTTTATATAGAAAATACTACGGAAAATTTTATTTGGATAAAAAATTAATCCACGGTTAAAAATTTTTCCATAAAAAAATCGGCTAACATTTTTATATCGCAAACTTTACCAGGATAACAGTATCCTCATATCCTTATCTGAAACATTTTTCTATTAATAATAATATCTTCAAACAAATCTTTAGATATATCATATTTAAAAGGAAATTCAAATTGTAATACTCTTTACAATCACCATACGTATCGTTACAGTCAAGTTGACATGTTTTTAATTTGGCAACCCTTGTTTTTTTGAAAGAAATTCTCATGATCATCGTATTGTTGCTAGCTGTAATCTTATTAGAATAACATTTCACGTTATGACAACTTTATGGGCAATGTTTTCTTATCTAGAAAAAAGCATAAGGATAATTTATCCTTATTATTCGGCCAATATTTACATATTAGCATTTTTTCGTTAAAAAAATTATTTATATTGTCACATTTAATCAATTCTATTAATTGTATAAGAAATTCCCATTAGAATTGCGGTTACAAACATCATACGTTGCGTTACGTTCCCTTACGTTAACTTCACATGATGACAACCCTGTGTATTTTAGAAAGGAATTCATGGTAATAAACGTGTACCGTTCTTGTAAGGCGAGAAAGAGAGTCAGCGAGTGAAAAAAGAAGACATTAGCTCCGACCGCCATTAATGTAAACAAACGAAATAAATAAAAATAAGCCTAATTATGCTCATTATTCGGCCAATATTTACATAGTAGCATTTTTTCGTTAAATTTAATTGTTTATATTGTCATATTTAAGAAATTCCCATTAAAATAGCATTTACAAACACCATACGTTGCGTTACGTTCCCTTACGTTAACTTTACATGATCTTGTGACATGTTCTCATAAGTCACGTTCTTACATTGGCAACCCTGGGCATTTTGAAAGGAATTCATGATAATGAACATGTACCGTTATTGTGTGATGCGAGACAGAAAAGGGAGAGAGAGAGCTAGTGAAAAAAAGGAGACCTTAGCGCCTACCGCCATTAATGTAAACAAAACGAAATAAGAAAAACATTGAACGAACATCAAACTTTCGGCAACTGATGTAAATAAATGGGATTGCATCGGCTGGTGTTCGGTTTGTGCGAGAGTGTACTTAAAAGAAAGTGTGCTTAGAGATCGATTTATTGAAAGGTACCCGATGGCAAGTTCGTGGAAATGAGAAGAAAGTTTTGTTTATTTTTTCCTGGAGGGTAAAGTTTATTTTGTTGTTGCTGTTGTTGTTTTGTTAGAGGTAAATGTAAACAAAACGCAATGCATTTGTTGTGTGTTTACACAAATAGAACTCTAAATGAGGTTGGCCATTATTTTATGGACCCTCTTTTGGTAATTAATGGAAATTATTTAAATAAACAAAAAAAATGAAGATGGAGAAGAATAAGACTTACCGTTTCGTCCAGATAATGAACGGATTGTTGCTGCTGCTGCTGATAATGATTGTTGATGTTTGATGATTGTGACGGCGACGACGATGTTGTTGGCTGCCGATCTGCAAGACTGCAATCCATATTACATTTGATTTTTGCTTTAGGCCACACAGCAGAGACACAAATACTACAACACTCAGATGCTGGACATCAAAAGTCGTGTAAATGATGTTGTTTTTTTTTATGGCCTGGTTGTTGTTTTGTGGGCCAGTTGTGGGCGACAACAACAACACCAACTACTTTACAAGACAAAAACAAAGCAAACTACTTGAACGAAGACGAAGAAACAACACAAAAGAAGTTTGTTTGGCAGCAGCAGATCTGTGGTATTATATGGCACACAAGTAAAGCTTTGGAACCAACGTTGCCCCCAAACGTGAGTGAGTTGTAAAATGACGATGATGGTGCAACGATGACAGTGATGGTGGTACTTCTTGTAAAGTCACACTTACGCACACACTCTTACCTCAAATGTATGCAAATAAGCTGGGAACGGCGTTGATGGCGATGGCACATTGGTTGTGGCTCCAAAAACCAAAGATAAATATGGGTGGGGGGAATGAAGACTTGGAGACCCACCACAATTGATTGTAAAACACAGGCACACACACTCACACACAGAACAAGATATTTCTTGCACAAGTTTGTTTTATTTTTTTTTCCGTTGTTTGATTATTGCTTTTCGTTAATGGTTTGTTAAAAGAAAGAACTCCTTCTTCTGGAAAAAGAATGAAAGGCCATAAAATTCACATATCAATAACTTCGTTGGTGGGGACCCAGCAGGACAGCAACTGGATAATTTTATGTATTTATTATTACTTGTTTTACACCATTTAACACGGGTATGTTTTCTTGTCACATTCCTTTTTCTCTTGCCCAATAATGGTTAGAGTGGGCGTTTTGAAATCCTAAATGGATTCAACAAAAAAAACCCACAACTTCTTTTTTCTTAGAGGCAAAAAATTTTCACATTTGCTTTAATTTGTTGCTGTAGATGGCCAGAGCGGCTTCACGTTTTTTTGTTTTTTTTTTTCGAAACCAATTGGTTCCTTACACCCACATAAACCCAAAACTTGTATGAAAATTTAAGATTATTTCCTTAACAGCAACAAAGACATTACAGACGAGTGATAAAAAAACACACAAACACACACAAGGGTTTTGTTGTTTATTTCAGTTTCTTGTGGCTACAAAAGATAAAGAAAAGTTTTTTTCAAAAATCACAATACAAAATTTAATATCAAAAATTTCATATACTTCGTTTTGGGTGTAGCCACAAACAGCAGCCAGTCAGCCAGCCAACAGGGGAGAAAAAGAACCAACTCAATTGGGGTTAGTGGAGTTAACGGCGTTAAATTGCAACTTCAGCAAATCATGCATTGAACAAACACACATTTTTAATATTTAATTGAAATTCCAATATCTATCAAACACATCTTAACAAAATAAATTTTCCATTTATTTCCACAATTCCCATGAATATTATCCTGCTTTGGGCGGTAAAAGGCTGCGGCGGCTCAACATTCACTGTCACTGAACAGACTTTGGTTTCTCTTGGTTGCCTGGTGCGCTTAATCAAACTGCATTTCCCCCTTTTTTGTTTAACACATACACAACACACGTACGCACGCACAAACAAACAAAAAAAATCTTACTGGAGTTTAATTTTTTTTTTTTCGTCTTCTTCTTCTTCTTCTTGTTTCACTACTCTACACACATTACAACAAAAACAACAACACGTCTACCGGGAGGACAATCAACGACAAGAACTTGACTTGCCTTTTGACAATCCTTGCAATTTCCTGTTTCAATTGCCACAAATATTTCATTTAACTTTGCTTTATTTCAGTTATAATTTGTTAATATTCTTCTTTCTTTTAAAAAAAATTTCCTTTTTTTATTACTTTTATCGAGTAGTTTCCGCTATTTAAGACGAAGCAAATGACTTTCCGCCCCCACACAATAAATTAAACTGACTCTGAGTAAGACCATACAACGCGGAGTCGTTGCAAGTCAACGGCGTAACAATTGTCATGGGCTGCCGCGAACTTCTCTTCTCCCGGTTACAATCAAAAGAAAAACCAGGATGAAATGTTTAATAGGGGTTTAATTAAATAAAAACTATAACAAAAATATATTATAAAATATTGATTTATGTTTAATTAATTTGTATTTATATACATTAATAAATATTTCTTATCTATTGTATGCGGCTAAGGTACTCTCTTTCTCTCTTACTGTAAGGGATCGAGTGTGTGTGTGTTCAGTGTTATAAATACCTATTAGACTTTGATGAAATGTTTAAATGGGCTAAATTAAAATAAAATTATAATAAATTGTTGGTTTATATTTAACTAATTAGTATTTATATACATTAATAATTATTTATTATCTATTAAGGACGGCTAAGTGACTCTCTTTCTTACTGTAAGGGATTGTAGAGCATGTTCAGTGTTAGAAATAACTATTAGACTCGGATGAAATATTTAAATGGACTAATTTAAAATAAAATTATAAAAAAGAATAAATATTTGTTTATATTTAAATAATTATTATTTGTTTTTTCTTTTTTATTAATAATAATTTATCGTCTAATGCAGACAGCTGATTTCTTTCCTTTTACTGCAATACATTGTGTAGTATGTTTAGTGTTAGAAATTCTTATTGGACTATGGGAGAGAATGAAAAAAAAAACCGATAAAATACAACGAATAAGCATGTAAGGCGGAATTCAAGAGAAATAAAGACAGATAGCGGAATCGATTTGAATAACATATAAGGCTTTCTTTTGGCCAATTATGGAGTTATGGTTTTTATTTGCATTACATTTAAAGTAGCTTTGGGTCAACGACATTGAAATTAGTCAATTAAAAAATACCTAAATTGTGAAGAATGTGTTCGAATGCCGTATAAGGAACATATTTATTACTTTTGCCATAACAAAGGAAGGAGGTTAGTATATTTTTTCCCATTTTTATAAAAGGAAGTGAAGAGACAATTAATTGCATTGTATGCCTAAATGACAATTAAAAGTTGGGTGTTAAAAACATTGTTAACAAGGTAAGGGGGAAGCAAAATACCTTAAAAAGTAATTAAAATTTTTGTTTGGAATTACTCATCATTAAAAATAACATTTTGATGTTCATGAATCTATAAAAAGTTGTCTTAAATGCAATACCATAGCCGCATTGACACAGCTACTGTAAAATCCATTTTTGAATGACTAATTATGCAAATTTATTAAAATTGTTGAACAATACATTTCATATGCAATTCCGAATAATATCGTGTAAGAAAATATATAAAAATCTAATTATTTTTAACAAACTTTTTAAAAATATTGACATATCAAATTTCCCATACTTTGATGTATCCATGGTAAAATGATGACAAAAATTAAATTTAAAAAATACAACTTTGAAACTTCAAATTTGTTAATAACAATTGTTATACAAAATGTTTCTCGAAAAATAATGAGATTTATTTAAAAATCAGGTTAAATTCATACTGGTAAAATAATGAAATCTATATTTGTTAGATGATAGGATGATAGGTTTGATGATAGCCTTAAAAATACATTAATGGTCACTGAATGTACCATTTTCACAATTCTCGTGCCAGTTGTATTAAATTGTGAAAATATTGTTTTTTTTTTTTTTTAACTTTTTTCGTTTAAGTAAATATAAAAATTGTAATTTTTCTTAAAAAACAACTTTAATAATTTAACACTTGTTAAAAATGTTAGTTGATATGTACGGCACTTAAACAGACCGCAATGGAAACTAAACATACCCCTTGAATATATTTCTGGGTATTTACATTAAATTGTGCAAAGATCTTTTTAAATTTAACTAGCAATTCAATTTAAAAATAATTTTTTATTGAAATTTTTGATAAAAAATCTATTTTTTTCTAATTTACACCGCTATTCGATGATCGGTTAGATGATTGGTAGCAACCTTAAGCAAATCTTAATTGCAACTGAATATACCCCTTTTGACATTTCTCGCGCCAGTCACATTAAATTGTGCAAAAAAATTCCGTTTTGTGGAAAATAATGAGTTTTACTTAAGTTTTAGTTTATTCAACAAAGTATTTATTCAATTTTTTTATTAAATAACCCTGTTATTTATTGTATTGATACCAAAAATCTCACAGCCCATTTATATTCCAAAAGGTAAGAGGTGCTAATGGGATGATACAAAACGAGAACTCTCTCACTTTAAAGCCAATCGTTGTGTGTGGAGGTTGGCTCGGTCTGTAACGACGCAAACACGTGAAGAAAATAAGAATTAAAATTCTGAAATTTTCTTCGCTTTATTTTACGAAGAAATTAAGAAAAAGCGAAACGAACGGGAAAAAACGAAATTGCCACAAGAAAAAAGTTGAATCATCTTTTGTAATTAATTGCTTTGTGAGTAGTATAAAAGCAGAAAAAAAGAAGAGTTGTTGTGCAAGTGTGCGTGTGCCTGCATGCGGAAAATTTTTGTGAATTTTTTTCGTATATAATTTTTTTCTTGTATTGGAAAGGTATCAGGTATTCATGCTTTTTATGGCAAAACGTTTGTAACAATAGATGATGATGATTGGGGTTTGGTATGACGTACGGTTTCGGTCGGTCTGTGGTCGGTGGTGTATCATTTATTGAATTTTTTTTTCAGGGCCACAAGATGGGGTTGTGCTCCAAATGCAAAATCCGAGGCAGAATAATTGTTTTTGTCTGCCTTTCAAATGATTTCATTTGTGAAAATTGAAATCTAAAGATCTGTAATGATTCTTTTTCATAATTTCTTTGTTCCATCATTTCGCAGACATGTGCGATTCATCGATTTGCCTCTTTTTTTTCCCTTACATCGCTCTCTTGAGGTGCGTTCTCGGAGAGATTAACGTTTTTTATTGTCAACAATGCGGGGGGTATGTTCAATGTGTGCCAATGAATAGTTGTCACTTAGTATTGCTGGCCCAAGGAAAAACATGTTTAATATTGTTCCATGGAAGAAAAATGTCGTTATTTTGTGGAAATAGAAAACTACATACTTCCACAATGACCAAAAGTACATTCCAGAGCCATATTAAGTGTTTATATTAGCCATTTCTCTAATTCCAATCATGCCTGTGAATGCCTGTTATCTTTTGTCCAAGCAAAATTAATTTAGTACTGTAGTGATTTAAATCATGCTAATTTTTTTGTGATTAATTTATTTTTATTCCATCCAGGTATCCTTTTTCCACATTTCTTCGTTAGTGTCACGCCCAACAACTGAGCCACAATGCCTTCGGACGCCAAAAAACGCGATGCCCAACGCAAAAAGGACGCACGCAACAAGAAAATCACCACCATTTCATCGGCCAAGAAAACAAATGGTGTCACCAATGGCAATAATGAGCCACCACGTGAAATGACCGAAGAGGAGAAATTGTGTGCCAAACTGGAAGAGGAGGCACGCATCTCTGCCGAAGCTAGAGCCTGTACCGGTTCCCTGGCCTCACATCCTCGTTCACGTGATATTAAAATAGAAAATTTCTCCATTACATTCTTTGGCAGTGAACTGCTGCAGGACACCATGTTGGAATTGAATTGTGGCCGACGTTATGGTGTTATTGGCTTAAATGGTTGTGGTAAATCATCATTGTTGGCTGTATTGGGTAATCGCGAGGTGCCCATACCAGAACATATGGATATTTTCTATTTGTCAAGGGAAATTCCTGCCAGTTCCAAGACGGCCTTGCAGTGTGTCATGGAAGTCGACGAGGAAAGAGTTAAGCTGGAAAAACTGGCCGAAGAATTGGCCATGAGCGAAGATGACAACGATCAGGAACAGTTGATTGATATTTATGAACGTCTTGATGATATGGCTGCCGATTTGGCCGAGGTAAAGGCTGCGCGCATTCTTCACGGTTTGGGTTTCGACAAGCAAATGCAACAGAAACAGGCCAAGGATTTCTCTGGTAAGTTGCCATATTTTTAACTTGGGAATTGGACACTAAGGTCATGATCTTTCTGATTACAGGTGGTTGGCGTATGCGTATTGCTTTGGCCCGTGCCCTTTTCGTTAAACCCCATTTGCTGCTGCTCGATGAACCGACCAATCACTTGGATTTGGATGCTTGTGTGTGGCTGGAGGAAGAGCTGAAGGAATACAAACGTATTCTAGTCATTATATCGCATTCCCAGGATTTCCTTAACGGTGTGTGTACCAACATCATACACATGACCCAGAAACGTTTGAAATACTATGGTGGCAACTATGAGGCATTTGTGCGTACCCGCATGGAACAGCTGGAAAATCAGGCCAAACAATATGCCTGGGAACAGGATCAAATTGCCCATATGAAAAACTATATTGCACGTTTCGGTCACGGTTCTGCAAAACTGGCCCGCCAAGCCCAATCCAAGGAGAAGACATTGGCCAAAATGGTAGCCCAGGGGTTGACGGAAAAGGTCTCGGATGACAAAGTGTTGAATTTCTATTTCCCCTCGTGCGGCACAATTCCACCACCCGTTATCATGGTGCAAAATGTCAGTTTCCGCTACAATGAGAATACCCCCTGGATTTATAAGAATCTGGAGTTTGGTATTGATTTGGATACTCGTCTGGCCTTGGTGGGACCCAATGGTAAGTGGAGCTTAAGATATAAGGTATTAAATGGCAAATAATTAATGTCGTCTTTTAGGTGCTGGCAAATCAACCCTGCTGAAATTGTTATATGGTGATTTGGTGCCCACATCCGGCATGATTCGCAAAAATTCCCATTTACGTATTGCCCGCTATCATCAGCATTTGCATGAATTGTTAGATTTGGATGCCAGCCCCCTGGAATACATGATGCGTGCCTTCCCCGAAGTCAAGGAAAAAGAAGAAATGCGTAAAATTATTGGCCGTTATGGCTTGACCGGGCGACAACAGGTGTGTCCCATACGTCAGCTGTCCGATGGCCAGCGTTGTCGTGTGGTGTTTGCCTGGCTGGCATGGCAGGTGCCACATTTGCTGCTGCTTGATGAACCTACCAATCACTTGGATATGGAAACCATTGATGCTTTGGCTGATGCCATCAATGATTTCGATGGTGGCATGGTGTTGGTTTCTCACGATTTCAGATTGATTAATCAGGTGGGTTGGAAAAGGATGGAATTGTGTATGATTTGGAGTTTTGAATAACAAAAATGTTTTTTTTTGTATTTTTTAGGTGGCTGAAGAGATTTGGATTTGTGAAAACGAAACGGTTACCAAATGGAATGGAAACATTTTGGACTACAAAGATGCTTTGAAAAAGAAGATTGTCAATGAAAACGAAAACAAGGGAGGCAGCAAAAAGAAATAGAATTAGCAAACACACACACACCAACACACAACCACATGAAACTGAAACAAACACTACGGTAGAACTATGTATTTTTTTCAAATAGTGTAGATTTATGTTTTGGTTTCAGAAAACAACAACAACAACAATATATACTTATACTAGGAACTTGCTCTATTCTTGAAGTGATCGAATTTTTTACCCCCTCCCCAAGAACACTATTTTATGATTTTGAACCAATCTTTTTTTAAATATTTTTTGTTTCCATTGTGAATCTTTGAGAATATAACAACAACAGCAACATAGTTAGAACTATAAAGATGTTTCTTAAAATAAAAACAAAACAAAAAATAGACAAATTATAACACTTAAAGGAAAACGATAACCGAATGTACTACACATTTACATACATAAAAGCTATATCAAATCTAGAGATTTATAAAACAAAAATACCTATATAAAGAAATGAATGACGTTCTTCAACAAATCTACACAAATTTCAATGTGATTTTATATGTTAAAAAAACCTTTCACAATAATAAGTTATATTAAACAACTGAAAAAAAAAAACAACATTTACACATTTATTAAACCTCCCTCTATTCTTTGTCCCCAAATCTAAACACGGACATTGGAAAATATTTAGCCCAAATTTTGCCTCTTTTTCCTCCACCTCTAAATCAAATAGAAAACAATCAAGCTAGCAAAAAATTGTTGTCAAGTCATGAAAAAAAGTATTGCAAACAACCTAAGCAAGCCCAGAACGCAATAGATGCTATTTTGGTATAAATTCTAAATTTGTTTTATTTTCAAAATCTTTTTATTTTTTTTTTCTTTTAAATTTTATTTTTATTTCTGTTATATTTTAACTTTTTGAGTTTTTTTTATTTTAAATTTTGGCAATTTTTTTATAAAAATTATTTTTTTTTTTTGGAAAAAAAAAAACGAAAATATTGAAAATAAAATTATGAATAATGTATTTACCCAAAATGCAAAAGGAAAATAACCAAGAAAAATACTATAAAAACCACAACAACAAAAAAATATTTGGATGAAATAAATAACGAATTATATTAAAAATCCCATATTTCATCTGACTTCAAAAAATGGAAATTGTGTTTTATTTATGGCTAAGGTATTTCTGAACTGTGTTGGATATATTTCCACGAATATCGTTACTACGGAGTGCATATCGCGGCTGTGCAGGACAAATTCAACAAATCGGATGAACAATATACAAGGGAGCTGTAGCTATATCTGAACCGATTTCCACCAAATTTGAAATACTTGCTTCTACACTCAATCTGGTCGTAAGTGCCAATTTTCATCCCATTTGAGCTAATATTACCCATTTTGTTGACAATAAAAGGCAAATCGGACGAAGATTTATATGGGAGCTATATCCAAATCTGAACCGATCTCTATAAAAATTGGCAAGGGCATTTCTGAGCTGCATATGATATATCTCCCCGAATATCGTTACTACGGAGTGCGTATTGTGGCTGTGCAGGACAAATTCAACAAATCGGTGGAACAATATACATGGGAGCTATAGCTATATCTGAACCGATTTCGATCAAATTTAGCATACTTATTTTCAGGCCTAATTTGGTCGTATGTGGCAAATTCCATTTGGTGCACAGTAAAATGCAAATCGGACGAAGATTTATATGGGAGCTATATCCAAATCTGAACCGAACGCGATAAAATTTGGCAACCGAACGCGATAAAATAGACTGTATTTGATATATTCCCCAAATATCGTTGTTACAGATTGCATATTACAGCTACGGAGGACGAAAATAGCAAATCGGATGAACAATAATTATGGGAGCTATAGCTATATCTGAACCGATTTTCACCAAATTTGACATACTTGTTTCTAGATACAATTTGGTAGTAAGTGCTAAATTCCATCTTATTTGGGCTAATATTATCCTTTTGGTGCACAATAAAAGGCAAATCGGACGAAGATTTATATGGGAGCTATATCCAAATCTCTATCGATCGCGATTAAATTTGGCAAGGGCATTTCTGAGCTGTATTTGATACATTCCCCCAAATATCGTTGTTACAGATTGCATATTGCGGCTATGCAGGACAAATTCAACAAATCGGCGGAATAATATACATGGGAGCTATAGCTATATCTGAACCGATCTCCACCAAATTTGATATACTTGTTTCTAGACTCAATTTGGTCGTAAGTGCCAAATTTCATATTATTTGGCCTAATATTACACGTTTGGTGCACCATAAAAGTCAAATCGGACGAAGATTTATATGGGAGCTATATCTAAATTTTGTCCGATTATCTCCAAATTGAATAGGGTTCGTCCTTGGATCAAACAAATGGTTTGTGCCAAATTTCATCTGAATCGGGCAATAAATGCGACCTTTACTTTGACTTAGAATGTGATTCTATGCAGGTCATCAAAAGGAAATATGGGTCTATCTCGTTTCCTTTTGCCTGTTATAAACAAATGCACAAAGACATAATACCTTGTGGTGTAGGGTATAAAAATTGAGAAATGTGAGCCTACAGGAATTAATTTCGATCGAATTTGTTTCGTTATCGAATTTTAAGCTGATCGAATTTTAAGTTTATCTTGATCGAATTTTAAGCTGATCGGGAATTTTTCGATGTGTTATAATTTTGTCCTTGTCCTCCAGTATATTTTGGAGGTTATAACAAATAATCATTGAATTGTGTTTAAAACGAAAAATAATACTAGATTTTTACATTTTGTTTAATACATTTTTCCAACAACAACAATTTCCTTATGACAAAACAACATTTTCCAATTGCAATTCCTTTTCAAAATATTCCGCAATTTTAGAATTATGGCGAATGCTCCTCAGCCATCGGACATAATCGGCAGGAATGCCCGTTTCTTCGGCACCCTTTATCAGTGTTTTGAGATAAGTCAACGACGGTTGTCTTTCCAGGGGTACTTTTTCGTGGGGAAACAATTTCAGATGGCCCTCCGGTTGTTTACACAAATGATATGCCCTACATGAAAGGGCATGATCCAGGGTGGGACAGTAGACCTCAACGGTGATGGGTGTGTAAATGCCTTCGTGGACTCCTTCTTGACTGGAATGGAGATTAAATTTTTATTAGTTTTTTTTTTAATGATGATATTAAGGCAAAAGAAAAAAACATCATTCAAATTTTTTTTTTTAATTTTATTTAAAATATTTTGAAATAATTTAAATGTTGGAATGGTGTTTTTCTTTTGCCCTTGGTTTGTTTTACAAAATTGTCAACCCACTTATCCAGATGCTCCAAATCACAGCCATCAATTTCCCATATGGCACCCCAAACATGATCATCTGGGGTGGGCACAATTGTGGCCGCTGCACCCATCCATCTTTTGGAGGGAAAATAAAAATCTAAACTATAATTCTGTGACACACAACAAAAAAGAAAACAATTTCAATAAATATTGAATAGTTGCTATTCAAGTTTTCAAAACATACCTCCAATTTCCCAGGACCCACCCTGACGGCTGTGGGATTTTGTAAATGTAAACGTCGGGCCAAAAGATTGCTGCCGAAACCAAAGTAATAGAATTTGGAAGCCATTTGGGTTGTGGGCTACACCTCACTTAACATAAATGGTTGTTGTCTCTACTACAATGCCCAACAACTGATAAGAATTGGGGGACAAGGGTTACAATTTGCCAAATGCGAATTAATTGTCTTCTTCGGTTGGCTATCTCTTGAATTTTAACAATCCAATGTCACTGATCTCTCCAGCACTAGGTTCCATACAAAAGTGTTTAATTTTGCAGCAGTTTTATTTAAAATATTTACAAAAATAGTTTTTTTTATTTACACACACACCGCCTGTAATGACTTTTGACTTCCTGATGATTTATTGTTTATGTTTACTTTAGTGAGAAGAGGGTTGCCATCGTTTGGTAATTTTACAACTTTAACGGGATTTTGCAAATCTCATGAGATTTGTACATAAATTGTTTTAAAGGATCAAAAAACGTGGATTTTTTAAAAAATATTTCTTCAAAGGAACCAGAAACGTGGATTTTTTAAAAAATATTTCTTCAAACGAACTAGAAACGTGGATTTTTTAAAAAATATTTCTTTAAAGGAACCACAAACGTGGATTTTTAAAAAAAATATTTCTTCAAAGGAACCAGAAACGTGGATTTTTTAAAAAATATTTCTTCAAAGGAACCAGAAACGTGGATTTTTTAAAAAATATTTTTTAAAGGAACCAAAAAACGTGGATTTTTTAAAAAAACATTTCTTCAAAGGGACCACAACCCTGGATTTTTAAAAAATATTTCTTCAAAGAAACCAGAAACGTGGATTTTTTAAAAAATATTTGTTCAAAGAAACCAGAAACGTGGATTTTTTAAAAAATATTTCTTCAAAGAAACCAGAAACGTGGATTTTTTAAAAAATATTTCTTCAAAGAAACCAGAAACGTGGATTTTTTAAAAAATATTTCTTCAAAGAAACCAGAAACGTGGATTTTTTAAAAAATATTTCTTCAAAGAAACCAGAAACGTGGATTTTTTAAAAAATATTTCTTCAAAGAAACCAGAAACGTGGATTTTTTAAAAAATATTTCTTCAAAGAAACCAGAAACGTGGATTTTTTAAAAAACATTTCTTCAAAGAAACCAGAAACGTGGATTTTTTAAAAAATATTTCTTCAAAGAAACCAGAAACGTGGATTTTTTAAAAAATATTTCTTCAAAGAAACCAGAAACGTGGATTTTTTAAAAAATATTTCTTCAAAGAAACCAGAAACGTGGATTTTTTAAAAAACAGAAACGTGGATTTTTTAAAAAATATTTCTTCAAAGAAACCAGAAACGTGGATTTTTTAAAAAATATTTCTTTAAAGAAACCAGAAACGTGGATTTTTTAAAAAAAAAATTTCATTAAAGAAACCAGAAACGTGGATTTTTTAAAAAAATATTTCTTTAAAGAAACCAGAAACGTGGATTTTTTAAAAAAATATTTCTTTAAAGAAACTAGAAACGTGGATTTTTTTTAAAAAATATTTCTTTAAAGAAACCAGAAACGTGGATTTTTTAAAAAAATATTTCTTTAAAGAAACCAGAAACGTGGATTTTTTAAAAAAATATTTCTTCAAAGAAACCAGAAACGTGGATTTTTTAAAAAAAATATTTCTTTAAAGAAACCAGAAACGTGGATTTTTTAAAAAAATATTTCTTCAAAGAAACCAGAAACGTGGATTTTTAAAAAAAAATATTTCTTTAAAGAAACCAGAAACGTGGATTTTTTAAAAAAATATTTCTTTAAAGAAACCAGAAACGTGGATTTTTTAAAAAAATATTTCTTTAAAGAAACCAGAAACGTGGATTTTCTTTACTTATTTAAATTTTATTTTGTCTTTATTTATTAAAAAAATATTGAGTTATATATACATAAATACATACATGCGTGAGTAATTTCATTTAAAGTTTACTTTTTGATTTTTGCAAAAAATCCGCAACGGCCTTTTGATAAACGGGTCCTCGACGCAATCTATCAATTTCCTTCAATTCGGCTTCCAGTGCTTTGAAAAGCTGTTCCCGTTGATTTAACCGCATTAAATTCTTGCTAATTTTTACCGATTCCCATGGCAACTGGGAATACTCCTGCAATTTAGGCCATAATCTTGCCTCTACATCATTCAAATCCTCATAGATTCTGGTTACAAATCCCAATTGCTCTGCCTTTTCTGCTGATAACTTTTCACCAAACAACAACAGCTTGGAGGCCCATGACTGGCCGAAATGTTGGCTAAAAGTATACGAAGAACAGGCCTCGGCACACAACCCCAATTGCGAGAATGGTGTCTGGAAAAATGCCCCCTTTGTACAGACACAGATGTCACACAGGGCCGCCAGGGTAAAGCCAATGCCAATACAGGGTCCATTGATTAGGCAGACAATAATTTTGGGACAAGCAATTAGGGTCTTGATTAGGGAACGTAAAATATAATTGGCCCCATAGAAATAATCCTCGGGATCACGATATTCCTGCAGCTGTTTGAGATCTGTGCCGGAACAGAAATAGTCACCACAGCCGGTTAGCAAGATCATTTTAACATCTTTGTTGTGCGTAGCTTCACCAATGGCAGCAATCAGGTCATAAACTGCATTGCGATTCAGGGCATTTCTACTTGCCAATCGATTGATTTTTAAAACTAGAATATTGCCACGAAGTTCTTTGAGTATTTCACTTTTTCGAGTTTTATTTGATATTCGGGAATCTCTATCACGTCTCCTGATGTCTTCCATGGAGGTGGGATCTTGTAACTTTGCCATCTTCTTGGCTCAGTGGCTCTCAGCTGACTGAAAACAATGGAATAAACAACTTTATTGAGGCTCTATCTTTAATTTGACTTCGGAAGGTATACACACATACTTGACTTGTTTGCTTGTCTTGTCTTGTCTTGCAGTGAGTATAGATTAATTAACATATAAATTTATTTATTTATTTTTTATTTTACTGATAACAACTGATCACTGGATCAACTAGTCTTGTCTGAATGGAGTAAAATACACAGTAAAATGCAAACACACACGCACAGCCACCAAGAGGCAACATACCAAGCACATAGTCTCTCTTCTTAATGATCATTATCATTAGGAATAAATTTATTATTGTTATTTGTTTTTTAAACAAATGTTTTGATAAAATTTTGCGGGGGGCTCGTTGAATAATTAATTCCGTATTATTTATATCACTTTTGCTTTCATTTCGTATTCTTGTCTCCACAAAGTAAACTGATAAAAGGCGGTTATTCACAGGAGAGAATGACAACCAGGAGAGCAAGACAACGTTATGCTCATTTCAAAAGTGCAATGTGGCGCCATGGGCATACAATGATTTTGCAATCAATTCATTTGTTGCAATTTTCTTCTTGTTGTTGTTGGTTTTATAAATTGATTGACTTGGTAAATTAGATTACAATTAGTTGGGAGGTAATTGTTTTTAATCCGGTACTTAAACAATTTTGCATTCAAGTCATATAAGGTGAGATGAGAAAAGCATAATATCAACTCTCTTTTCATTTTATTTGAAGAGAGCGGCATTGGTTGAAAACAATTAAATGCCGACTTTCTTAAATAGGTACATTTTTTAAAAGCAAAGGAATCAAATTTTTAGAAATGTTTTTGTAATATTTTGTTTTATTAGCCAACAAACGTGAACAGAAAAAAGAATTTAGACATATCTCTCATAAAAAGAGAGGTATGTTTTTGAAAAAAAACGTATTTTATAATAAAAATGATAAAGGAAAATTAAAAAAAAAATCTAGATACACATAAACGTTTCTTAAAATAAAAGCTTTTTGAAAAGGTAATTCTTCAAAAAAAAAAAAAAGGCTCTGGAGACTCATAAAAGTGGTTGTCGATTTTTTCTTTTGAATTTTTTTTCTTTGGCGAAAATCACATTTTCCCCCCAAAAACTGAAATAAGAAAAATTCTTCGTTTTTATTTTTTTATTATTAGATTTATTTATTTTTATTTAATTGAACTTTTAATTACTTTTCATTATATATTTTGTTTTTTGTTTTTTATTTTTAATTTTTATTATTTGTTTTATAACTTTTGTTTATTATTTGTTGTTTTTTTTAAGATTTCTGTTTAAAAATTGTTATGTATGTATAACTGGATGTTGTTGGTAAGATTTAAATGTTTAGGAATTTTTTCGTTTATTTTTTGTATATATTTAAATGATGTAAAGTTATATATTTTTAGGTATATATATAGATTTGTTTATATTCGATTAAAGGAAACATCATGGTAAACAAAACTAACAAAGTTTTGGTTAAAAAACCATACGGAGTATGTATGTAAATAAGCAATTGGCAAGTAGGTAGTTTTACAAAAAAATATATGTATTTTATATAAAAAAAGTTATTTCAATTTTCTATTATTTTTAAATGTTATTTTTTTGCGATAATCCTTTAAAAAAGCTGGCTTAAATACAAATTGCCAAAAAGAAGATGTAGAAGAGAAATCCACAAACACCACACTCAGTGAAAGAACTGTTAAAATTGCTCTCTCTCCAAGCGCTCTCCTTTGTGTGACATTCAATAACAATTGTCAACAACTGTTACAAATCTTAGGGTAACCAAGCACACCTCACATTTTCCTTGTAAAACAAATTTTAACAGAAGTTAAATAAATTTTGTAAAATTATTGACTTGCCGAATTGCTATGTAATATACACATCTAATTTTTTATATAGATTTAATTTAAAATTGAATTTCATTATTGCATTGTTGTTGTTTTTTAATTTTTATTTAAATTTTTAAATTATTATTGTTTTGTTTCTCTTTTTTTTAATTTTTATTTAAAATTTTATTATTGTTTTGTTTTTATTTTTTGTTTCTCTTTTTATTAACCTCAACTATTTAACTTTAATTTGGGTTTATATTATATATTCTTGATATCATGTTGTAATTAAATTTTTAAAAAATTAATTTCTTTAAGATTTTTATTGTTTACTATAAAAGAAATTTCTGTTATGATAACTGTTTTTAATTTCCTTTTTTTTTGATAAAAATGTTTATGTAAATCTTTATAACAATGATATATATATAATAACTAGATTTGTTTTTTAATACATTTATGTATATATTGTTTGTATATATATATATAGTTTTATAACAATGTGAAAAAAATTCTTACAACTTCTTTTTTTCATTACTTTTTGGCTTTAAATATTTGTGTGTATGTTGGTTTTTCCTATGTGTCAATTGTTAACATGTGTTGTTTTTATTTTCTTTTTTTTTTTGTTTTATAATTTAATAATATATACTATATTTTTTAAATATTTTGTGTAATATTGCATTGTTTATTGTTTTCAATTTCATTTATTTTTGTTTTTTCATTTCTAAATAATAAAAAATTAGTATTTTTTTGTATTATTATTTTTAAGAGGATATTTGGAAAAAAGCTAGGTATGAAGTTTGGGTTTTGGTAGAAACATGGGAACAATATTTTCCAACAAAGAAACCGTTTAGATTTTGAAAAAAAAATGATAATAGGAACAGGAAACGCTAGGAGCTTAAATATGGGATTTGTGGTTTTAGTTTTTCTAGAAAGAAATTTGAATTAGGAAGCACTACATTAGATGTTTATTTTTATTATTTTTGAAATTGTAACAGTGTTTGGTATTCTTTAAGTTTATAATGATTTTTAATATATTTATCTATGAGAAAAAAAGATATTCTTTTTTTACAAAAAAATGTAACAGTTTTGTGTAGTATATTTTATTATATTTGTATTATGTTTTAATTTCTTAGGCATAACAATGTTAACATGTTTTCTTTATTTTTTTATTGCACTATATCTTTCTGTGTTTCCAGGAAACTAAAATAAATAAATAACAGAAACCATAAGACCATAAATATTTAAAAAATAACACACATTTAAAAAATCAATTAAAGCTTTCTACAACTAAGGGTGGAAATACGTAAAGCGCATATTTGGCTGGCTTCTTCGTAGATGAAAAAAGGAGTTTTAGGTTGACATAGATCGATTTTTGCCCTAGGCTCCTTTTGTTCATTTCCAATGACTTAAGGCAGTCAGATAAGCGCTTTATGTATTCCCATCTTAAGAGGTCATATTTCAAACATGGCCCTTAATAATAAATATAAATATAATATAAATATAAATTTTAAATAATTATAAAAAATATAAAATAATAATAAAAAACACCTACAAAAACACACTACAAACAATGAGGTATACAATAAAATCTTGTTGGTTACTATGGCTAAAAATAATTTAAAATATAAAATAAATTTAAAAAATATTAATTTTAAAAAAAAATCACACACATAAAAATTAAATAAAATTTCAAAGTTTTACAAATCAAAAAAATTGAATAAATATTTAAAAAAATATAAATTCTGTGATAATTTCATACATATCACAATAACACATTTAAATTACTAAAAATAAAATCGTTTAAAAATTTTTCTTTTAAATTTCTCAGCTTTGCGTTTAAGTAACTCCTTTTCTTCTTCACCTCCACCCCCTAACCACCCCCTTTAATCCACATAATCCCTTATGATTAGCTCACGTTTAGCATAGATTATACCCGTATTTGTGTTAACCAACGTACCGCCCGACGTGGTGGCTGTTGTTGTGACCGCCGGACCAATAATCGTCCTGGCATTTGGTGAGAACAGTTGCACATTGGCATAGGTTGTATTCAGAGAATTTAAAGTTAATTCACATTCATCATCATCGCTGGGACTAAGTAAAAGGGCACTGCTATCCGAGTGATTATTGTTCGAGTGATTGTTGTTGTTGTTGTTGTGATGATTTATGAGGATTTGTTCAGCATCTTGTTGTTGTTCGGCATCTTCTTCTCCTTCTTCTGCTTGGTGTTGTTTGTTGCGCAGCTCATTGATTTCATTCTGCAGGCGTTGATTGCTCAAACGTAAATTTTCATTTTCCGTAAGGCACTCGCGGAGGCTGAAATGGGAGATAAAAAAGAAAAACTCCGGTAAATGAAAATCAAAGAACGGAAAAAAGACAAAAATTAAAAAAAAAGAAAAAAGTCAGTAGATGACCAAAAACTATAGCTACAAGTCTGTAGATGTCCATCGAGAAAATCTAAGGGTCAGTAGATGTAAAGCATTTACATCTACAAGTCAATAGATGTCCAACGGAGACATCTACAGGTCAGTAGATGTCCAACAAAGACATCTACAAGTCAGTAGATTGAAGACAAAGACATCTACAAGTAAGTAGATGTCCAACAGGGACATCTTCAACTCAGTAGATCTAACACAATGACATCTACAAGTCAGTAGATATCCAAAAGAGACATCTACAAGTCAGTAGATGTAAGCCAAAAATATCTGCAGGGTAGTAGATGAAAGTCAAATACATCTACAAGTCAGTAGATGTCCAAAAGGGACATCTACAACTCAGTAGATATCCAAAAGGGACATCTACAAGTCAGTAGATGTCCAACAAAGGCATCTTCAAATCAGTAGATGCAAAACAAAGACATCTACATGTCAGTAGATGTCCAAAAGGGACATCTTCAACTCAGTAGATATCCAACAGGGACATCTACAAGTCAGTAGATGTCCAACAGGGACATATACAAATCAGTAGATGGAAGAAAAAGACATCTACATGTCAGTAGATGTAAGACAAAGATATCTACAAGTCAGTAGATGTCCAAAAGCGACATCTACAACTCAGTAGGTATAAAACAATGGCATCTACAAGTCCGTAGATATCCAACAGGGACATCTACAAGTCAGTAGATGTAAAACGAAGGCATCTACAACTGAGTAGATGAAAACCAGTGACATCTACAAGTCAGTAGATGTAAAACGGATACATCTACAACTCAGTAGATGGAAAACAAAGACATATACAAGTCAATAGATGTTCAACAGGGACATCTACAAGTCGGTCGATGTCTAACAGAGACATCTACAAGTCAGTCGATTTCCAACAGCGACATCTACAGGTCAGTAGATGTCTATAACAGATATCTAAAAATCATTAGATGACCATCAGGGACATTTCTAAGTCAGTAGATGACCAATGGATGCCTAAAAAAGGAGTAAATGACTAGTGGAGACATCCACAAGACAGAATACAGTCATCGACGAAGCCGTAGATGACCGAAAGTGACATCTGTAAATCCGTATATGACCAAAACACGCATCTACAAATCTGTAGATGGCCAAAATCGGCCTCTACAAATCAGTAGATACCCCAACATTGGCTACAAGTGCGTAGCTGATCCCCACTAACCACCACCACCACCACCACGAAATTCGTTCATCTTCACCCACCCCACCTTACCTTTGTATTTCGTCCTGCATCGATTTAATATATTCGCATGCTTTTATCAATATTTGAGATTTTGAATCACTTGGCGGTGCACGAGTTGAGCCTTGCTGCGGTTGCAACAGAAGTCTTGGCGGGGTGCTATTAACAGACTCCTTGATAAGGGTCACCCCAGCCGAACCGTTGGTGACAACACTATTCATATCCGATGGTAGCATTTCTTTCAATTTAAATATCCAACTATTTATTTTATCACGACGACGACGTTCCACCTCATTGTGGGTTGCTCGACGTTTATCATCACGTTTCTTGTAGGCTTCCAAAATGAGGCTACGCTGTTTGCTGGAATCCTCTTGCTCGCGCTGACCACCGACAGCAATGGTGTTGGTGTTGGCATTATTTACCACAATAGATTGTTGGCCAAGATTCGAGATAATAGTTTGTGGTGGTTGCTGTTGCTGTTTTTGATTGTTGGCTGTTGATGCGCCCACGTTGGTGGTACGCAAAATTTGCATTGTACCCCCACCACCTCCGGATGATGTGGATGAAGTGGAAGTTGGTGACATAGGTTCCAATTTAATTGTCGTATTGTTGGGTAACTTATTTCTTGTTGTTGCTGCTGTTGTTATATTCTCGGAGAGTAGTTGTTTAGGAGGTTGTTGTTGGATTTCTTTGATAACATAAATCTCACAGCCACTGGATAGTTGCATGCTAGTTGGGATTAGAGTTGTGTTAGCAGCGGCCAAATTTGTATTCACCAGTGCCGGTGTATTGTTGTTGTTGTTGTTGGTGGTGGGTGTTGTGGTAAAATTGCTGCTATTGTTGTTGCTGTTGTTGTGATTAATTATGGGTTTCCCTGATTGATTTATAATACGATACTGTGGCACTGTGGTCAACAACTGAGTGGTTGTGGCTGGCTGTGTTGTTGCTATTGCTGGCGTGGCGGCCACATTGCTCTCCTGTTTGATTTGTTGCAATACTGAGCTATCTATAATGTATTCTTCCGATTCATCTGAATTATCATCACATATCGAAAGTAAAATGTTGGCGGGAAGTGTTGCGGCCGAATTGCTTAATATGAAACTGCAATGGAAAACAAAAGGAATGTAAATGGCATAGTTAAAAGCTAATATTTCAATTTTACCTTTGTCCACCAATGGACAATGTTGTACCCGTTGCTGTGGCCACTCCCTGTAAACAATCATTTTGTGAGGATGAGGCTTGCACCAATTCAAGGCGTGCCCGTTTCCGGTGGTTATCCATGATGGTAAACATAAGAAGCTATGCCAACAAAAGAAGCGCAGAAATCTTATCGTTTTTCTTTTCGTTTTCAGGGGAGGATTTAAGAGTAGCTCGAGATAAGGTTCACAAAGAATTTCAGCAGAGAAACCCAAAAGGCAGCACACACACCCACTAGCATTGATATTTGCACTTGTTTTCAATTAATTTCTTAACATATTCGAAGTGGCCGTTAGATTTATTGTTATTTAAAACTTATTTATAATTATATTTTTTAGTTTTTTTTGTGTTTTTTGTTTATTATGAAGGAAATATATTAAGAGTAATCAGCTGTTTGTTTGACATAGAGAGCTGAGTTGTTTCTAAATGTCAAACTTGTCACAACCAAACCATATTGTGGTACCTATAATGGAATTTGACGGGGAATAATTTTCCCCTTGACATCACAACGCTAAAATGGAAAAATCTTTCAAAATGCGAAACTAACCTCAAAAACTTACAAAAAATTATTTCCTTCAATTTGTTTGTAATATTTTTTGCGATATGTATCATACCTACCAATTTCATTTGTCCGGTGACTTATAGTGAAATTTGACGGAGAATAATTTTTTCCCTGACATCATCAATCTAAAATAAAGCACTGAGGAAAAATCTTTCGAAATGCGAAACTAACCTTAAAAAACTTACAAAAAATATTTACTTCAATTTGTTTGTAATATTTTTTCGATATGTATCATACCTACAAATTTCTTTTGTTCCGTGACTTATAGCAAAATTTGACGGAGAACAACTTTTTCCTTGACATCATCATCCTAAAATAAAGCACTGAGGAAAAAAAATTAAAATGCGAAACTAACCTCAAAAACAAGCAAAAAATATTTTCTTTTTGTTTCAAGCAAATTCGTTTGTGATGTTTTCTCGATATATATCATACCTACAGATTTCATTTGTTCGGCGACTTAAAGTGAAATGTGACGGAGAACAACTTTTCCTTGACATCATTAACCTAAAATAAAGCACTCAGAAAAAATCTTTCAAAATGCGAAACTAACCTCAAAAACTTACAAATAAAATATTTACTTCAATTTGTTTGTAATATTTTTTCGATATGTATCATACCTACAAATTTAATTTGTTCGGTGACTTATAGTGAATTTTGACGGAGAACAACTTTTTCCTTGACATCATCATCCTAAAATTAAACACTGAGGAAAAAAATTAAAATGCGAAACTAACCTCAAAAACTTACAAAAAAAAAATATTTACTTCAATTTGTTTGTAATATTTTTTGGATGTGTATAATTCCTACAAATTTCATTTGTTCGGTGACTTATAGCAAAATTTGACGGAGAATAATTTTCTCTTGACATCATCAACCTAAAATAAAGCATTGAGGAAAAAAATCAAAAAGTGATACTAACCTCAAAAACAAGCAAAAAATATTTTCTTTTTGTTTCAAGCAAATTCGTTTGTGATGTTTTCTCGATATATATCATACCTACAAATTTCATTTGTTCGGCGACTTATAGTGAAATGTGACGGAGAACAACTTTTTCCTTGACATCATCAACCTAAAATGAAGCACTGAGGAAAAATCTTTCAAAATGCGAAACTAACCTCAAAAACAATCAAAAATATTTTTTTCTTTTTGTCATAACCTAATTTGTTTGTGATATTTTCTCAATATATATTATACCTACAGTTTTTTTGTTCGGTAACCTAAAGTGGAATGAGATGTAGAATCATTTTTTCATTGACTCCAAAGCCCTAAAGTGAAGTTTTACTGGAGAATTTGGGCCTCAATTCGAAATATGCGGAAAATATATATATTACCGGCATTGTTTTTATTGTGCTGACATATCTTGTCTTGGGGTTTTTCTTTGAATATTTAATAATATTTATACAATTAATACAATTAATAAAAGTTAATTTATTTCGTTAAATTGTTTGGCAGGATTTAATAATAGCTATTCCAGCAACAACTAAATAAATAAATAAATAGAATTGCTTTTCACGTGCGTTGGCGGTCGGATTTGTTTTATTGTTTTTTAAGTTTTTTATTGTTTCACGCACAATCTCAAATCACACATATACACACTTGTTCAATTTGTTATTTGTTCCTAGATATTTATATATTTTATTTATATTATTTAAATGCGATAAATAATTGTTTACCCTACAATATGGCAACACTGAAAAGAAAGACAGCACAGAGAGAAAGGTGATGCTTGATGTTTGCTGTGTGTAAAATTTAAAGAGTTTCTGTTTATTAAGGTCATCACCTCCAGGAGAAGTAAATAGCGGAGTTCCACAAGGCAGTATTTTGGCACCATTTCTCTTCAATCTATTCCTTCACGACTTCCCTCACATTAGTCAAAACTCAAAAGCAATTTTATACGCCGATGATTGCCTCATTTATGCGCATCACACATCACCATCAATTGCATTAAATAACGCAAAAAATCACCTTCAGAACATCAACAGCTACTACAAAAAGTGGGGTATACAAATAAACGCCGCGAAGTCTGTTGCAATCTGCATACGTAACGCCTCCGGAAAATGTCCATGGTACGTTGTCCCAGAGAGCAAATCACTACAACTGTCCTTGGATGGCGTAAACATACCATTCAGAACCTCTTTCAAATATCTCGGCATCCAATTCAACAACTTAATGAAATTTAATTTCCATGCCCGCTCAATCATGAAAAAAGGAAAAGGTGTTTTAGCAAGATTTGCATATGTGTTAAACAATAAACACCTACCTCAAAAAACAAAACTCCTCCTCTACAAGGTAGCAATCCGTCCGATTTTGCTCTATGGATTTCCGATCTGGTTCTCTATTTCCCCAACAGTGGCCAAAGAATTAGAAGTCCTGGAAAGAAAAATTATAAGGAAATGTATCAACAAAAACTTCATCAATGAACATAAACGATACTCAAACACCCACATTTATACTGCGTCAAATGTTGTTCCTCTTTGTGAATATGCCCAACGCCAACAATTAACATTCGTCGAAAAACTTGCCACGCATGAAAACTATCTGATGAATGAAATTTATGAAATTGAAAAAGAAATTTCCTGGTCACAATCCTCCTACCTATCATCTGTAGGAATTTTGAACGAAACGCCTGAAAGCCTTCTTGACCACAACTTGCCACAATTCTACCAAAAAATCGCGTCTGGCTGTCACAGAGGATAGATAAATAAGTTTATTCTTATTTACATTGTATACTATATAGCAACTTAATATACCACATAAGGTTCCATATAATTGTTTTTACATATAAGCTCACTGAGCACTCGATTATTATTATATGATACATTTATCTGTGATAATGTTATTTTACTACACATAAAAAAAAGCTCTTTGAGCACTCGATTAACTGTGATAAACTATACATTAAGCATACAATTATATTTAAAAACTATCACTTTTATACCCTCTGTTCGACACTGTTTTAACAGACCACTTTGTTATTTAGTTTTTTAGTTTGTTTTGATTCCTTATTTATTATTACTGCAGACGTCAAAGCGCTGCTCGTATCAGCGGAGGCCGGGAGCAAGCCTCATTTTCTCTTTTCACCTTGCACGAAAAATAATACATTCTCATATTACGCTAAGTAGCATATCTTTACGACTTCACTGTATAATAGAACAAGACGACTATAGTTCTAAGTTAAACATGTTAACCATTCGATTTGTACGTACATTTACCAAAGAAAAAGAAGAAGACTCTAATAAAGTTTACTTTACTTTACTTTACTTTACTTTATTAAGGGAAAATCGTGAATATCGTAAGGAAAAATGGAAATACATGGCGAAAACAATGAAAATATTTCGAGATTTACTGCCGACTGCAAAGCTAGGCTTGCAAAACTGTTTGCACGTTTAAATTGGACCGAGGAAGGTGTGTTAAAGGTATGCAACGAAATAAACTGGCGCCAAAAGGAAATAGGTTGGATTTACAGGAAAGAGGATGTGAATTCTTCCTAGATCGGAGCTCATTTAATTGTTAAATCATGAATGTGGTGAGGTTTTTACACATCCCAGGCTGGCCTGTGAACACTTTGAACTCATTTGTGCTACATTAAGCATTCCCTTTTTACTTACAGAGTTTCAACACAAATTCTCCAGCAGCCAAGCCAAAAGTGACCAAAGATCAAAGTTCTAATCCTTTTGTTTCTCCCAAGAAAGCCACCTATCCGGATAGCCTTATTACAGCCAACTCCATAATACTAAGTACATATTCCTTTCTACAATTGTCGTTCCATGACTCAAAGACGTTATCTTTCCAGCAACACCAAAATTACAAAATCTTTTGAAAAATCCCAATGTTGAAGCGCCACAAAATTTCATTGAACTACAGAGGGATTTCAGTAGAGATGAAAAATTGGCCATATATGAGTTCACCATAGAAAATACGAGAAAAATCAACAATAATGTTATTGAGGATGGGTAAGTATTTCGATTATGGAATTTCAGAATATCAATTAATTTGGGAGTCTTCTTCTTTTAGGCCTGAGGGAGCATCATCCTTGGCGGATATTGTGGCCGAGAAGAAAAGAGAGGCCAAACGTAAAAAACGCAAATTTCGCAAAACCAAACCCACGCTCATAGAGGAAATGAGGGCCTTGGTCCTCCTGCAGATGCAGGCTTTGGAACAGTATTGCGGAAACAAGCAAAGCCTTGAAGGAGATAAAGCGAAAGAATCATTTGAAATTGAAGGGCAAGCAAAACGCACGCAATTTGAAAGGAGGGAACGTAATCAGGGCTTATCACGACAGTCGAAGCAAACTCTCTGTTCTGAAGAATCCAAAGACCGAACGCGAAAAAATGAACACAAATCTTCCTATAATAAATCCAGAGATGGTGGCACTGGTCATGGTAGAAGGGACGAAAGGGACGTCATAAAAAGGGTGGAAGATAATCATTTCAGTAGGGATTATGAAAAAAGAAATGATAGCAAGTACAGCCATGGAGAGGAAAACCGAAGTTGCCATAGATATGAACCAAAGAAAGATAATTTTGGAAGTAATGCCAAAGATAGTCATCGGCTAAGAGAAAATGATTTTTATAGGCAAAGAAGTCCACACAACAACAAAGACATTGACACAAATGAAAAAGTTCCTAAGGATCCTGACCAAAGACGTGGACGATATTCCCATAATGAGGAGCACAGGAGTTCTAGCAGAGCTGAACGTCACAGACGTAGTAGAAGCCGTGACAATGCTAGATCATATGGACACCGTAAGGAGCAACATTCACGAAATAGAAGTAGAAGTCCACATCATCGTAGAGAGGCGAATGACTACTGTCATCGTAGAAGTAAGAGTCCGGATACGGCGAAACATTATTCCAAAGATATGAGATACAAAGAAAGAAGATAATAAAATACAAAATCAAAAAGATCAAGTCCTCTCAACACCATACTTCTTTTGTTAACATACATCATGGGCTAGACGGGTATTCATGGAAATTGAAAATTTTCAGTTTTATTCCATTCCATTCATCTCAAAATTCACTATTTCACATTTTTATGACAGGATTTTCGCCCCCTTTTGCATTAATCTAATTCAACGTTAACAATATTCACTTAGTTGAGACACGAGTACGCTTGTTCCAGGCAAAGTTAATGCCATAATTCTTGACACGTTCAGTTTTGGGTTTGTCGGGACGTTCAACGAACCAACGCCAGCCGTTTCTTTCGCAGAATGTAATGGCCTCTTCTTGTGAAGAGAAATTAACATGCATGTTGGACAATGGATCGCCACTAAAAGAGAAAAGAAACAATAATTTATAGCCAAAACAATACATTTTCCCACTTACGTAGAGGTCCAACCCATCAGGGGATTTTCCCAACGTTCGCGATTATCGAAATCAATTTGCCAGGTGCTCAAGTTGTTGGTACCACTTTGCATGGCATTTTTGGGTGGCATATAGATGCGTACACGACGTGTCTTAACATGTTCCTCGGGCACACCAGTAATGGGGCTGATGTCCACTTTGACCGGTACAGTAATGGTACCTTGCAATTTATTTTTTTGCTCAATATCTTCAGGTTTGGCCAAAGCGGTGTCCACATCGATGACTGGAGTGTCGCGCATTGAGGCCATGCCGCGGCTCAACACAGGAGACCTTTGATGTCAAAATGAAAACTCAGTAATCAATATTGCATTAGCTAATACGTGCGAAAACCTACCATTGTTGAGTGTGCTTGGTGGCCTGGACAATTTGCCTCAGCAAGGACATTTTCTATGTGCAATCAACTTGGAACAACAGCGAAATAAAACTTATTACATAAAAAAATGGTCTACTGTCAATTTAGCAAAGTCTGTTTTGACACCTTCTGAGTTGACAAGCCGCAGTGAATGTTTGTGTATAGAAAGAGGAAGAATATATGTCTGTTCAAATCGTAGAAAGCAAAGTTTGTGTTTTTTCTGATGTTGGGAGATAAATACTACTGGGATATATTATTACGGGGTTCTAATGGACACATATACTTTATTTACACCAATAAATTTTAAATGTGGATAAAATATGGCATATGTAAACATTTCATAGTGGATTACAAATACCAAGAAGAAGAAAACAACAGTTTATATTTGAGATGCTGCGAAAGAGCTAAATACCAACATTAGTAGATGAACTGTTTACCATGCGACACCATAATATAATCCAAACAGGAGAATTTGGTGAAATTATGGTTTAAAAAAATCAGGTGAGTTATCTGGACATTTCCCTTTATAACAATCTAGACAATCTAGCAAATGTGTCACCATTCCACAGTGATTTAGTATAATAAAGAAGAAGAGAATGTTGTTTTCATGGGAGAGCCTGTGAGAGAGAGAGCCAAGCCGCATTTATTTCCATTTCCAAGGTAGATCTACCTTGTTTCCATTCCATATTAATACCAAGCCAGTAACATGGACGACAATGGCGTGACTGTGGTCCTGGACAATGGAGCATACACGGCCAAATTGGGTTTGGCTTCCCAGGATGATCCCCAAGTATCGTTGAATTGCATTATGAAAGCCAAAGCTGAGAGACGCCGGGCATTTATTGGCAATCAAATCGATGAATGTAGGGATGCTTCAGGTTTGTCCCCAACATGGTTTGTAGTGGATTGTGTATTAATTATGTTTCCTTCCATTGCAGGTTTATTTTACATTTTATGTTTCCAAAAGGGATATCTACTAAACTGGGACATACAAAAGACTGTCTGGGATTATTTCTTCAGCAATGAGGGATCCGGTATATCCTTGGAAGATCGTAATATTTTGGTGACAGAACCCCAGTTAAATTTCACCAGCATCCAAGAGACAATGGTGGAGATTCTATTCGAAGAATATCACTGTAGTGGCATCCACAAAACTACCACGGCTGAATTGGCTGCCTATAACTATTGTGCTGACAGTGGCGAGGAAACTTCTATGCAGGCGCTGAATTGTATCGTGGTAGATGTGGGTTACAGCTTCACGCATGTAGTGCCCTTTGTACGGGGTAAACGAGTTTTGAAGGGCATACGGCGCATTGAGGTTGGTGGCAAGGCTTTGACCAACCATATGAAGGAAATAATTTCCTATCGCCATATCAATCTGATGGACGAATCGTATGTGGTAAATCAAATCAAGGAAGATGTTTGCTTTGTGTCACAAAATTTCGCCGATGATATGCGAGTGCATACAGATGCTAAGAAACGTTCCGAAATTGCGGTGGAATATATGTTGCCAGATTTTACCACAGTTAAAAGAGGATATATACGAAAAAGTCCATCTAAAACTGGTGGGGGAGAGGAGGAGGAAGATTGTGATCAACAATCTATGCGTTTGTGTAATGAACGTTTTACGGTACCCGAACTGCTGTTCAATCCCTCTGATGTGGGTATTCAACAGGTGGGCATACCCGAAGCTGTGATAGATGCTTTAAAGGATTGCCCACCATATGCCCATCACGAACTGCTGCGTAACATCTTGGTAATTGGTGGCTCTTCGTTGTTTCCGGGATTTGTGCCCAGACTGAAAAGTGAAATACGCTCCCTGGCCCCTGACGATTTAGAGGTATCATTGATCTTTCCCGATGATCCCATAACCTATGGTTGGTACGGTGGCAAGGAGATGGCCAGCAGTGATGGTTTTCGAGAAACCCTCTTCACCCGAGATGAGTATGAAGAAAATGGTTACACCGCAAGCAATGGAAGATAATAAAAATGAATTTAAAAGGAAAGCAATTTTTGGTGCAATTATTCTTTTATTTTGCATTGTTTATAATTTTCGTATTTTCATTTAAATGATTTACGAAATTTTAAGCAATATTGAACTACATAGGCTATTTAGTTAATTAGACAACAAAACAAAACAAAAAAACTTATGCAAAAGCTCTATTATCTAGGCAACAATTGTGAGTAATTGGGAGAGATGGAAATCTCTAGTGTCCTTACATTTAGATTTTTATTTTACTTTGTTTTTTTTTTTCTTTTTGATATTTCTTTTCAAAATAACAAACTATAGGATCATCACACATGATAAGCTTTAAAAATTTACTAATTTATATGCTAAACGATTCGCCGCAGCCGCATGTACCTTTAATATTGGGATTGTTAAAGACAAACTCACTGGCAAGTTTTGATTCAACATAGTCCATTTCAGTGCCTGGAAGAGATAAGTTATTTTTATTATTTTATATCAACAAATATTTCCAGACTAATTGAGGTCAGTGGGAAGTATGCTGTAGCAATTTCAATTATGCTGCTTATCATCTAGTAGATCTCCCATCCCTTGTTTGTAACACGTGATAAATGCAACGTAACACAAAAATAAAGACTAGAATAGATTTATACGTCATTTGTTTACCAAAACATTTCACAAAATTCAGCAATGTTTTCGGACAATCGAGACGTAGATGACAAGGGAATGGTTCAATATTCACTCACCTAATAATGACAGTTGGGCTTTTTTGTCTATGTAAACTCGCACGCCGTCTTGGACCACTTCCTCATCCAGCTTATCTAGAAAGAAATTGACAATTGACATCCGAATACCTAATATTTCATAGAAATACCCACCCTTTTCTTTGGCATAATTTAGAGTATAGGAAAGACCATTGCAACCACGCTGTCGTACACCAACTTTGAGGCCAGTCTGAAAACAAGTAAAACAATCAATTTCATAATCTCCACATAAGAAAAATAAGGCAAAATCTTACATATTCCGGTTGTCCTTTAAGCAAATCCTTGATACGCTGTACCGCTGATGGAGTCTACCAAAGAAAAGCAACAATTCTTATTATTTACGTTCTTCTTTCTCTCCTCGTCGACTGTTATGAAACGAGAATGTTTACAATTTCTTCTTACCAGAGTCAAAGCGGCTCGAGTGGGCAAAAGTTTGCGGCCCTTCAGTGCTCTTACTGTGGCTGTTGCAACTACTTTTGTGGCCATTTTTCCAAAATATATCTACTTAAAAATTTAGTTTTGTTTTCCTTTCTTTTGAAGGAGATTCTATTTTTCGTTATTTTTCACTCTGTTTTCTGTTATTGTTGTTGTTTTTCTGTCTGTCTAGGATAGAGATCGAAGAATCGATTTCTTGACAACATTCTTCTTCTTTTTCAGTGTACATAAGTCATCTAGGGATGATTACATGAGAGAGGAACATATGTTGGGGTTATCAAGGCAAATCAATGGTACAATAATTTCCAGAGTAGTTGGAGTGAAAAAATGAAATCATATTTGGGACTGGATATTAAAGGGCTGCAAATGCGACAATTTTCTCTATTTATGTCATGGAGAGAAAACGCTCGTCATGTTGTGCCCTGTTTGATCAAACGCATAACAGTACGTGACATCCAACCAAATGCTCGATGTTTCGTCATGTCGGTCACACTCAAACCCATCGTCATAACATGTAATGACCAATAAAAGGGAATGTTGAATAGTGTGTCATACAAAAATGTTCTATCAAAAAAACAACAACAATTATGAAACAACTGCCAACGAAAAAGACACACGCGTGATGAAGGCAAAGCGCAATCGCTACCTGCTTTTCCGATATGTGAAAGAATAATTTTTTTGTAATAATTTCTTGGCGAATACTAAAATATTAAAGGCACTTCTAATTGGTCCACACAAAATTTTCACATTTCGTGGTTATCGACGAAACAATCTAAAATGTTAATCCTTATAAAAAACAATAATCTCCTGAAAAAATTTCTTATTTTGATAATAATTTCGTAAATGTTTGCCTCCGGTAGTGATGTGTAAATGAGAATGAGTGCTACTGTAATTCACGTAACAACACTATATACCTCCATTTTTCAATTCTGTGCATATTCTGTTATTGAATGAGAGTCAAATCTCTGCCCACAAACTTTAATTTTAAAAGAACACTTTATGTAGATAGAAAATAGGCAAACAATATTTACCTCTTTTTTATGACCAACATTTTATGATAATCACCAATAAATTGGGATTGTTCAGTAAATATTTCATTTTTTCTATTCATTTGTTGATGTCTATGCACATTTTGTTATTGAACTCAATTTTATATTTACGCGGTGTTTGTTACTTCAAAATTACAGCGCACACAAAAATACATCCTCACCGTCGAAAGTAACACACACACACTCTCTCAATTTAAGCACACGTACACAAATGGCACACAATTTGACGATGACACGGTTCGATGTCATCGTTGACACCCTGCATTTATGGAGAACACCATGCAAATATTCGAGTCAGCCATGCCACGATCGAACCTTAGACAATGGCACACATGAATCAAAATTGGGGATGTTGTTGGTTGTCATTGCCTATCAAATACATAGCACATGATTGAATAGACAAAGTCAGTGTGTCAAAAAAAGCATAATTCATACAATTCGTCTTGTGCAGGCCTTTACTGGATATTGTGAAAATTACGTGGCTTCGCATTCATTTTCGAGATTTTATACCAACTTGAAATATCGTGAGAAAAGTGCAAAATAAACAAAAAATATATGTTATTAGAAAATCTTAAGTTACAAGACCCTAGATTCAGAGTTGAGTTTTTATTGTAATAAATCTGACCTATCTTGTAATGATTGTATCATAGGCAGCCCCATTATAAAACCGGATCAATTACACGTTGGAATTATTCCACATAACTTCTTAAAATATAAGTTTTAAACCACTTTTCCAATATAATTCGGTCCATAAAAATTTTTTAAAAGTCATTTTTACAAAATAAGATATGTATATGCAATTTTTCATTCATAATTTTTATTTTTGCTTTAAATTACAAAAATTTGCTGTAACATATGCTACCGTCAGCTGTATTGATGGGTCCACCTAATACACCTTTTTTGGCTGGGTTATAATGAGTGGATGAGCAGTAGAAGGTTTGTGTTTGAGAATTTTACGTTTTTCTATGCTTTTTTCTCCTAAAAACAGTTTTATAATCATTAAATATTATTTTTTCAAACAAAATTATATTTTCTAGCTTATTCTTCGTATTGGAATTTGAATTTCCTACATGGCAACCTTAACATATGTTTTCCACAAGGCTATCATTTCAAAGTAGATTACGTTTGGCAAGAAGAAGAACGATAATTGTTGTCAAAAAAGTATTTTTCTAATAGAAGCAGCTAGGATAGTTAAAATAAAAACAATATTTTGCAATTTTAGAAACATTAAAACTTAAAAAAAGTATAATAGTTATAAATTATAATGTTACATTAAATAACCACAATATGTTGAGAATAAATCCATGCTGGCTGGCTCATTGAAGGGGCACTCTATGTCTCTCTCTCTTCGTGTATTTTGGATTTGTTACTCTCCAGCATGTGTTTGTGTATGGAGAAGAGTCACTTGAAGTGTTGTTATGTTTATTGCTGTTGTTGGGGCGTATCAAGAATAACAATTTATTTAAATTAAAATTTTATTGAATTAATATTTGTTGTCATCTTGACTATGCCGAATGACTTGCTCGCACTGTCGTCTGTTGTTATTTGTGTGTTGTGAATGCGAGCGAGCAGCAAGTGTTGGTTGGTGAGATGTGATAAGTTTTGTTTTTTTTTTATTTGGGTTGTTTTCGTGGGGGATACGTTTATTGTTTGTTAAAAATACATTTTTTCGAATATATAAAAAATAAAATAAAAACAACAACAACAAATAAAGCATAAACCATACGTTTTTTAGCTGAAGTGGCCATTTTTTGGCTTATGGCAGAATTTTCTTTTTTCATTTTTTTTTTCGGGAAAAAGAAAGAACAACAAAAACAAGTGTGATTTTTTCGCTGCTTCAAAAACGTGTATTAAATATTATGTTAATTTTGCAGAAAAAAATAACGAAAAGATAAGAAGAAATAATATAGCAGTTTATGCAGTCATAAAATAAAGTTTTGATAATTCACAAAAAAAGTAACAGAAAGTAATAAACCAGCCCAAACATGGATTCAGATTCGGACAACGAGCATACGGTCTTGTGCGAAAAAATCATCAATGACATGCATACGGTTTTCCTCAAGGACACAGAATTGTAAGTAAATCAATAGTAAGCAACCTGTTTTCTTCCTTTCCAACCATTTCCCCTGCTCACCCTCATGTTGAGAGTACGTTATTTGTTTCTTTTTTCAAAACATTGCGACGTTAGCGGCTTGTTAATGGCATAATTTTTAGGTGTGTCTGGTTACTTTTCCTGCAGAAATTGTCCAGTAACTTCTTTCTGAGAGAGTAAGGTAGTTTTATTCTCTTTTGCAAGGAAAATTCGAAAAGTAAACAGACGGTATTCCTGCAGAAGATTGCAACTAATCAGCTGATTTGTCAAAACAAACCAATTTGTCCCCCATAAGGAGAATTAAAACAAAGGAAGCAATACTAATTTTACAATTTTTTTAAATAAAAATGTTGGAAATAGTCTTTTATTTCCTTATTACATATTAATATTTACGTTTTCCACATTTTTTAAAGTTTTTCTCCAAAAACAATTAGTCTTTCAAGTTTCAAAAAAAATATTTTCAAATTAAAAGCACAAAAATAAATAAACAAACAATAGAAAACATCTGATTGAATGTCGATAAATGAGAAGAAGAAGAGTTGCAAGTGATTGCAAGAAGAAATTTTTCCAGCAAGAATTTGCAAACTCTCACTGAAAGAACTGTCAAAATTTCTCTCTCCAACCGCTCTCTTTTGCAGAACTTTTGGGTTAACAGACGACTTCCAGTAACAATTTGTAACAATTGTTACAAACTTTAGGGCAGGGGTGCTCAAGAAGAAATATCTGTTTTCAGTCAAATTTCTCTTTGCTTATTTAAATCAAGAACAAAACAGTGTTAAGTCATTATTTATACAAATATTTTTTATCCATTTGCTTTATAAACTATTTTGGCAAACATTCGTGTTTAAAAACAATTAAATAGAACAGTAAAATATAAAGAAAAACAGAATTTTAATTTTCTCTTAAATTATCTCTTTTTTCTCTTCATGTTCTAGAACACGGTTTTGAGCACCCCTGCTTTAGGGTAACCAGACACACCTTTTGTTTCATTACCTATTATCGATAACCTTTATTGGGGTGCTCTCTTCCCTTGCTTGTTCTCTCTCTCTCCGTCTCTCATTGCATTTATTTGCCAGACATTTTGATTGCAACCGTTATTTATTTCCTTTACCTTTCAAACGGAAGAGTTCTCTTCTCTTCTCTCTCTCTCTCTGTCTCATAACCTTTTTTCCCGCCTTTCACTTTGAAATGTCAATAAATTATTTTATTCTGGTTTTTGAAAGGGAGAAAAAACGAAATATATATAAAAAATCATATAAATTTACCTTAAATTGATGGACAGAGGTCAAGGTTAAAACGGGTTATATCCTCATTGAACGTAAATTGGACATGAGAAGCGTAAATAAATTTCAATTAACGCGCGCCACGATACCGCTGATTGCTGCTGCGACAGTTGCAATCCATGGCTAGTTGTGTTGCAAACAAAAGCAAGCAATTTACATTGGTATGTAATGAATTAAGAAAGTATTTGGTATTCAAATTTGATTGTTTTTTGTAGAAAATTAGAATCCTTAGATGTGTAAATGAAGAGTTTTAGACTGGAGGCTGTAAGAGCCAAGACGGGGCATTAAAGGGTATTTATTTGCCTACAACAACTGAAAAAAAAAATCCCAGATAAATCTTTTAAAATGAATTTTTTTTAGTAGTTGCCAAAACTGAGTTTGGACCTTAAACAAATTTAAGATAAAAAGCATTTTAGAGCTTTCTCAAGGGGAACCCCTGTGAATTATTTGGAAATATTACTTATGAAGAATTTTTCCAAAGGGAACCTCTAGGCAATAGAGTGTATGTTCAAATAGTGTTTCAAGAGGAAGGAAACGTGAATATTCTAATAACTAATTTCTAGGGTTATTAAAAATTATTTTTCTTTATAGTATACAACAGGATTTTTGGATATTTGCGGGAGGAAAATGAATTCCATAACGTGACGTTTTTGAAGAGGTATATTCAAGCAGATTTTTCTTGAAAAAGAACCCATATCTGCTTTTTGTTTTCAAATGAAATTGCTTGAGCTTTCCTTGGCCTATATAGTGTATCTGTAGCTTTGGTTTTCCGGAAGAATTTTCTCAAGTGGACTTGGGTACACCCTAACAATCAAATTCACAGCCGTTACTTTACGATTTAATTTATTAAGCTCACTTAAGTTTTTTTTTGTATGCATGCACAAGTTATTAGGATTTCTTGTTACAATTTATACAAATCAAGATCACAGCTACAATGACAACAACAAAACGAAACATTTAATAGGTTTCATATTTGAACATAACATTGTTGGAGCAGATGGAGACTGACGCCACCCCACCGGACAGCATCGCATCAAAACACAATTGTTACTGCGCCGTTTCTGTGACACCATAAATTATTAGCACATTTAAACAGAAGACGAAAAAAAAAACAATACGGCATTCGACACATTTTATTGGAGATTTGTGTGGTGCACATATATATTTTGGATGTTTTTTAGTTAAGAAATTTATTTATTTCAGAATACTCCGTAATTAAAGAGCTAGATTTCCATCAAAAAAGTCATAGCAAAAAGCTGAAAGAGACAAGTGACCATTTTCCTTTGGCGGGATGAAATCATGATATTAGTAGCTACCGGCAAATATTGCAAAGCTATTATGTCTCTCAGTAATACATATTAATTAAATTCAACCCAGATTATACACATTAAAAAATTGTCACATTCCCCTTAAAAAAATTCTCCAGAGACCGCAGCACAATCTCATTATCCATCTATCATCTGTAGCTTTGCGGAATATCGTTTAATTACAAAAAAAAACCTGTATGGCTGCTCCTACCTTTGTTTTACATTTCCCCATGACATTTTCCATTATTCAACATTACTGTTGCGGACAGACCTTCCCGCCAAGTTTTCCACGGCACACACGCGCCAATATACACACATAGTTAAATATTTATGTATGATATTTTTATCTGCTGCTGCTTCTGCTGTTGCCTTGTGTTCTGTTTTGTTATTCTGCTCCAGCTGCGTCTACTGGCGTTTCAATGTCACTTTACATGTTCGAGCTTAAGTACTGAGCTTTATTACACAGGAGAACACAAATATGCTGTAGAGAAATCATTTTTTCAGACCATTTTGATACTCGAGCTGGTATTTTTATGTTTTTACATTTTGCCAATTTGGAAGATTTCTTTATGAAATGAATGTTTGAGGTAAAGGATATATTTGAGAATTTCGTTAAGAACACAGCGCAGAATATTTTTATAAAATATCTTAACCCTATGTCTCTTTTATGAGGGGGGCTCTTTGAAGCCTTTTAAAAAAAATCATTCTTTTAGATCCCTATTCAAATATATCGGCTAAGATTCGTCATGATCCTCTGACTTTAGACTCACGCTGTCTTCGGCAATATTTTTAACAACACTATCAGCAACCGTTTTGTAGAACATATTATGAAGGGGTCTTTTTGGGTACTCTTTTTCTAATATGCTCACATTTTGCACATTTCAAGTTGGATTGACCCGGGATTTTCGGTGAAGCTTAAGTGTTGGACACAGGGCATGTGTGGCAACATAGTTAACAACACTACGAGGAACATTTTTGTAGAATATTATAACCCTCTAGCTCTGCGATGAAGGGGTATTTTTGGGTATTCTTCTCTGATATCTGATCTCTTTGCACATTTCAGTATGGATTGACCTGGTATTCTCAGTGAAGCTAAATTTTGGGACACAAAGCATGTGTGGGAATGTTGTTCAGAATAGTATAAGGAATATTTTCGTAGAAATCCCTAACTTTCTAGCTCCTCGATAAAGGGTCATTTTGAGTAATCTTCTCTGATATTCTCCCTTTTTGAACATTTTCAATATAAATTCATCTGGGATTCGTGGTGAAGATACATTTTGGGACCCAAAACATGTGAGGGAATGTTGTTCGGAATAGTATAAGCAACATTTTTGTAGACGGTCTTAACCTTCTAGATCCTTGATGAAGGGGTCTTTTTGTGTATTCTTTTCTGAAATTATCTCATTTTGCACATTTTTGATATGGATTTACCTAGGATTCTCGGTGAACCTTACTTTTCGGACGAAGGATATGTTTGGCAACATTGTTAAAAACACTATAAGGAACATTTTCGTAGGCAGCCTTAAACCTATAGTATTGTGTATTCTATTCTGATATTCTCTTATTTTGCCCATTTTCAGTATGGATTAACCAGGGATTCTCGGTGAAGCTACATTTTGGGACCTACAGCATGTGTGGGAATGTTGTTAACAATAGTGTAAGGAACATTTTTGTAGACAGTCTTAACCTTCTAGGTCCTCGATGAAGGGGTCTGTTTGGGTAATCTTTTCTGATATTCTACCTTTTTGCACATTTTTGATATGGATTTACCTGGGATTCTCGGTGAAGCTACATTTTGGGACCTAAAGCATGTGTGGGAATGTTGTTCAGAACAGTATAATGAGCATTTTTGTAGACAGTCTTAACCCTCTAGCTCCTCGATGAAGGGGACTTTTGGGTACGATTTTCTGATATTCTCTCTTTTTGCACATTTTCAATGTGGATCGACCTCGAATTCTCGATGAAGCTTACAATTTGGACACAGGATATATTTGGCAATATTGTTAACAACATTTCTAGGACCAAGTTTGTAGAACATTATAACCCTCTAGCTACGCGAAAAATGGGACATTTGGGTACTTTTTTCTGATATTCTCTCAATTTACACATTTTCAATGTGGATCGACCTCCAATTCTCGACGAAGCTTAAAATTTGGGACACAGGATATGTTTGGCAATATTGTTAAAAACACTATAAGGAACATTTTTGTAGACGGCCTTAAACTTCTACCTCCTCAAATTAGGGGTCCTTTTGGTCTCAGTTCTCAAAATTGATCGTTTTGTTAATATTTTCTGATTCAAGAGCAGATTCCTTGTCGTCCTTTGATTTTAGATCCCGAGTATATTCTGCACTTTTGTTAGAAATACTACTGGAAACATTTTTGCGGATTATGTTAACCGTATAGATCCGCAATTTAGGGGTCCTTTGGGTACCTTTTTATGAGTTTTCGTGTTTTTTGCATGTTTTTTTCCGGACTCAATGCCAGATTCTTTGCTTTCTGTACATTTTAGGATTAGTTTTTCTTAAGAAATCTTAATAACAAAACTACAGGGAACAATTTTATAGAAAGTGTTAATCATCTAGCTCCTCAAATTCGGGGTCTTTTGGGGGACTTATTCTCATATTTCCCTTTGGTTTGAATATTTTATCATTGGAGGGCGGATTTTGTGCCCTACTCTCAGTTTATGTCCAAAATGTGTTCTGCAACTTTGTTAAGCACACTATTGGGTAAATTTTTGTGGACCATGTCAACCCTCTAGCTTTTCAATTTAGGGGTCTTTCTGGTACCTATTAATCATATATCAATATTTTTCAGGTCTTTCTATGAGTCAGGGGCAGTTTTCTTGTCCTCCTTGAATTTTTGGTTGAAGAAGTGTTTGGTGGAGTTGTTAACAACACCCTAAGGAACATTTTTGTAGACAGACCTATACCCCTAACTGTTCAATTTATGGGTCTTTGGGGGACTTTGTTTTTATATTTTCAAATTTTGGAGATTTCATTGTGGGTCAATGGCAAATTCCTTGTTATTCTTTGGTTTTGTGTCCTAGAGGTGCTCCGAAATTTTGTTAGGGACATTATAAGGAGAATTTTTGTAGACAGGCCTATACCCCTAGCTGTTCCATTTATGGGTCTTTTTGGGGCTTTGTTTTTATATTTCCTGATTTTGGGAATTTTATTGTGGGTCAATGGCAAATTCCCTGTTATCCCTGTGTTTTATGTCCTAGAAGGGCTTTGAGGTTTTTTTAGGGACATTATGAGGAACATTTTTGTAGACAGGCTTATACCTCTAGCTGCTCAATTTATGCGTCTTTTGGGGGCTTCTTTTTCGTATTTCCTTATTTCAGGAATTTTATTGTGGGTCAATGGCAAATTCCTTGTTATCCTTTGATTTTATGTCCTAGAGGTGCTCTGAGGTTTTGTTAGGGACATTATAAGGAACATTTTTGTAGACAGGCTTATACCTCTAGCTGCTCAATTTATGGGTCTTTTTTGGGCTTTGTTTTTATATTTCCTGATTTTGGGAATTTTATTGTGGGTCAATGGCAAATTCCCTTTTATCTTTGGATTTTATGTCCTAGATCTGCTCTGAGGTTTTGTTAGGGACATTATAAGGAACATTTTTGTAGACAGGCCTATAACTCTAGCTTTTCAATTTACGGGTCTTTTGGGGGCTTTGTTTTTATATTTCCTCATTTTGGGAATTTTATTGTGGGTCAATGGTCAATGGAAAATTCCTTGTTATTCTTTGATTTTATGTCCTAGAGGTGTTCGGAAATTTTGTTAGGAACACTATTTTGTACATTTTTGTGCAATATGTTAACCCTCTAACTCCTCAGGAAAGGTGCCTATTGTTAAATTTTTGGGATATTTCCTTGTTTTTTTTTTTTTTTTTTTTTTTTTTTTTAAGAAGAACCTGTAGTTTTCCTTTTAGCCTTCTGTAGAAATATTTTTGTGGACAGACTTAACCTCCTAGCTCCTGAAGGAGAGGAGTCTTTTTGGTACCTTTTCATGACATTTCTTCTTTTTTATTTTTTTTATTAATTTAACCGCTCGGCCCTTTCCCTTATATTTTAGCCTTAGGATGTTTGTTGCAGAATTGCTAAAAACACTCTAACGAACATTTTTGTAGACAGCATTAAATCTCTAGCTACTCGTTTTAGGGGACTTTTGGGTACCCTATTCTAAGTTCAACCCATTTTAAAATATGATTCTGCCATTTTCCTTAAAGGCTCCGTAGCTACCTTCTTTATAATGATTCCTAATCTCTTCTTATTTTATCTTCTCTCTTTCCTGGCAGATCCTCATTTGAAATAATACCAACCGTTTTGAATCGCAACAAATCGCCCGTCATTCATGTGGAACATAATCTCGGCTTGGAATCATGGTGTGCCAAACATGTCTATGATCATGCTCATCGCATGCTAATGGGCTATAAGAAACAAACAGTACAACGTTATGTTCAACAAAGTGAACAGTTGTTAAAGTACCTGAATGTGGCACTGCTCATAAATCCCGATGTGACGGCCTTTTGGCACATACGACGGCAGTTGGTGCAAAAGAATCGCCTAAAAATGAATAGGGAATTGAAATTCTCCACATTGGTGCTCAGCAAGAAACCCAAATCGAATGAGGCCTTTGCCTATCGCCGATGGTTGTACTCCTTTCAGAGTGAGTGGCTATTTTTTTTTATTTTAAATTCGTTATTAATTTCCTTTGTTTCTCTTCTCCAGGTAATGACGCCATCGATTGGCATCATGAAATTGGCATTTGTGAACGCTGTGCCGATCGCAGTTCGAGCAACTATCATGCCTGGTCCCATCGCCAATGGGTGTTGCATAATGCCCCCATGTTGATACGGGCCGAAATAATGCGTTCCGAAAAATTCATGCGCAAACACATTAGCGATTATAGCAGCTATCATTATCGCCAGATTCTGATAACCTTTGCCTATCAAATGTCATTCTATGAAACGGATCAACTGCATCAGTTGCATGATCTGAAGCAACTTATCAATTACTATCTAATTGCCGAGGTACAGTGTCCGGCCCAGATATTGAACATAATGTTGCCCGGTGTAGATCAGGCGGCCATTGGAGAGGCCCGTCTCAAATCGTTTTTGTATTGTTGCAATTTGGCTGCCCACGATATGCGTTTGTGTGATGACCAGAAGAATATGTATGGCGAAAGAGAATCATTTGAATTGCATCGGCGGGCATCACTGAAATTTATTGTTGAACAATGTGTCCGTTTACTGAGCGGAGATCTAATGGGTATCTATTCACCGCCCGCCACTCCGGTGCAGCAACAACAATTCAATACGCATTTACGAAAATTCGATTATAATTCATATGAGTTCCTCAGGGCCTTGAAGAAGTCGGAAAGTCTGCTGGGTTCGAAACATCGCAAATGGTGTTCGTTGTTTTTGGGCTTTGACTTTGAGTCGGGAGCTGCTTAGATAAATGTTAAAAACCTAACTATTTTTCTTTAAGAAACAGAAAGTTAAAAGCAGAGATGATACTGTTGAAGTGCTGGAATGGAAATCTCAAGAATTTGTTCACAATAGAATATTTGCTATTTCGTTTTGGGAAACTTGGCATTAAAGCATTTGAGGATTTAAATCAATATCCTCAACAAAAAAGCTAAGACACAGGAAATTTCTTAAATGTAAAAAATAAGTTTTCGAAAAACAAATCTCACGATCATCCTAGAAATCCTTTGAGTTTGGGATCAAATTGTGTTGGACAATATTGCAAAGATCAGAATAGGAAATATTTTTGTAAAAAAATGATCTGAACGGAGCGCCTTTTTAGATTTTTTTTTTCAAATATGTATAGGGTTTGAAAAAAATTGAAATTAGTTGACCTATGATAATTTGTAATCGCTTGATTTGAGCTCTAGACTGTGTAAGGCAACATTTCCAAGAACTCCCTAAGGAGCATTTTTGTAGAACATGTTAACCCTATAGCTCCATTCGAAAGGGGTCATTTGAGACCCTTTATGTTTTTTTGCACTTTTTGACGAAGTTAAAATTTGTTAGTATGAGATTACCGGTGATCCTTTGATTTGAGGTCCATATAGGTTTTAGCAAAATGTCTAAGAACACTTTAAGGAACATTTTTGCTGAACATGTTAACCCTCTAGCTCCTTTCTAAATGGGTCTTTTTAGTCCTTTTGAATTTTATGCAGACTTTTGAACTATTTTATAATGAATCAGCCTTTATATCTTATGATACTTGGATTTTAGGTTCTCATAATTTTCAAAATTATTGCAATCTGACCTCTAACCAACATTTTTGTAGAACATGTTAACCCTCTAGCTCCATTCGAAAGGGGTCACTTGAGACCCTTTACGTTTTTTTTGCACTTTTTGAAATAAATTAAATTTTGTTAGTATGGGATAACTGGTGATCCTTTGATTTAAGATCCAAATAGTGTTTAGCAACATTGCTAGGAACATTCTAAGGAACATTTTTGCTGAATATGTTAACCCTCTAGCTTTTTTCTAAAGGGGTATTTTTAGTCCTTTTGAATTTTATGCGGACTTTTGAACTATTTAATAATGAATCAGCCTTTATATCTTATGATCCTTGTATTATAGGTTCTCATAATTTTCAAAATTATTGCAATCTGCCCTCTAACCAACATTTTTGTAGATCATGTTAACCCTCAAGCTCCATTCGAAAGGGATCTCTTGAGACCCTTTATATTTTTTGCACTTTTTGACGAATTTAAAATTTGTTAGTATGGGATTGCCGGTGATCCTTAAATTTGAGGTGCAAATAGTGTTTAGCAACATTGCTAGGAACACCCTAAGGAACATTTTTGCTAAACATGTTAACCCTCTAGCTCCGTTCTAAATGGGTCTTTTTAGACCATTTGAATTTTATGCAACTTTTGAACTATTTTGCAATGAATCAGCCTTTATATCTTATGATCCTTGAATTTTAAATTCTGATAATATTTAGAATTATTGCTATCAGCCCTCTTGCGACCATTTTTGTTGAATATGTTAACCCTCTAGCTCCACACGAAAGGAGTCATTTGATATTCTTTGTAATATTTACACATTTCAAAAAATTGTAGAATCAGTTGGCATAGGGTATCTCTTGATCCTTCGTTTTAAGGTTCAAATAGTGTTTAGCAACATTGCTAGGAACACCCTAAGGAACATTTTTGCTGAACATGTTAACCCTCTAGCTCCGTTCTAAATGGGTCTTTTTAGTCCTTTTGAATTTTATGCAAACTTTTGAACTATTTTACAATGAATCAGCCTTTATATCTTATGATCCTTGGATTTTAGGTCGAGATAATATTCGAAAATATTGCAATCTGCCCTCTAACTAACATTTTTGTAGAACATATTCACCTTCTAGCTCTTTTCTGAAGGGGTCATTTGAAAGTCATTGTAATATTAACACATTTCAAAAAATGTTACAATAAGTTAGCATGGGGTATCTCACGAGCCTTCGATTTTAGGTCCAGATAGTGTTTAGCAACATTGCTAAGAATACTCTAAGGAAAATTTTTGTAGAACAAGTTAACCCTCTAGCTCCGTTCTAAATGGGTCTTTTTAGTCCTTTTAAATTGTTTACATTTTTTGTACTAATTTACACCAATTTAGCCATGATATCTTGGAATCTGTTGAGTTTAGGTCCAGACAGTGTTCGACATTATCGATAACAGCCCTCTTACGAACATTCTTGTTCAATATGTTAACCCTCCAGCTCCATTCGATTAATTTGAGAGCCTTTGTAATATTAACACATTTTAGAAAATTTTACAATGAGTTGGCATGGGGTATCTTACGATCCTTCAATTTAAGGTCCAGATAGTGTTTGGCAACAATGCTAACAATACTCTAAGGTACAATTTTGTAGAACATGTTAACCCTCTGGCTCCGTTCTAAATGGGTCTTTTTAGTCCTTTTAAATTGTTTACATTTTTTGAACTTATTTACACCAATTTTGCCATGATATATTGGGATCTCTTGTGTTTAGATCCAGACCGTGTTCGACTTTATTTATAACAGCCCTCTTACGAACCTTTTGGTAGAACATCTTGAACCTCTAGCTCTTTTCTGAAGGGGTCACTTTAGACAATTTCAATTATCTTTTTTTTTTTTTTTTTTTTTTTGAATTTTTTTACAATGGTTAACCATAGGACACCTTGCGATTCTCTGATTTTGGTTAAAGATGGTGTTTGGAAACATTGCTAAGAACGCTCTAAGGAACATTTTTGTAGAACATGTTAACCCTCTGGCGCCTTTCCAAAGGGGTCATTTGTAATATTTATAGTTTTTAAACAATGTTACAATTATTTTTCGAGGTTAACTTTTGATCCGTATGGTTTCTTATGATACTTTTATTTGAGGTCCACATGGTGTATAGCAACATTGTTAGGAACACTCTGGGGTACGTTTTGGTGGAACATGTTGACCCTTCAGCGCCTTTCTAAAGGGGTCATTTTAGGCCATTTGTAGAAGGTGTATCTTTAAACAATATTACACTTATTTTGCCAGGATGACTTTTGATCCTTCTGGTATCTTATGATAATTTTATTTGAGGTCCACATGGTGTATAGCAACATTGTAAGGAACAATCTGAGGAACATTTTTGTAGAACATGTTAACCCTCCAGCGCATTTCTAAAGGGGTCATTTTAGGCCATTTGTAATATTTGCAGTTTTTGAAGAATATTAAAAAAAAATTTTGTCAGGGTAACTTTTGATCCTTATGGTATCTTATAATACGTTTATTTGAGGTCCAGATAGTGTATAGCAACATTGCTGGGAACACTCTGAGGAACATTTTTGTAGAACATGTTAACTCTCCAGCGCCTACCTAAAGGGGTCATTTTAGGCCATTTGCAAAAAGTGCATATTTAAACAATATTACACATATTTTTGTAGGATGACTTTTGATCCTTCTGGTATCTTATGATACTTTTATTTGAGGTCGAGATGGTGTTAGGCGACATTGTTAGGAACATTTTGAGGATCATTTTTGCTGAACATGTTAATCCTCCAGCGCCTTTCTAAAGGGTTCATCTGAGCCCGTTTTAAATTTAAATTTAAGACATTTTGAACAATTTTACAATAATTCGCTCTAGAATATCTTGGGAATTCTACGATCTTTGCTCCAGTATAAGTTCGCCAATATTGTTCACAACACTCTAAAGAATATTCTTGATTGGATTGTTTCCCCCAGACAATTTTTCGGTTCTTTTTATTAAAATTCCCCATATTTTTTATGAGATTTCCAGTGTCTTATTTTTCGAATAACAAATTATACATGAAAGATGGAATGAAATAAACTAAGCCAAATTTCTCAAAACGGATTTGCCTTATAAGAATCGTTTGACTTTTGCCTTCAAAGAATATTGAATGTCTTCCTAGCACAATGAAATCAAACAAAACTAAAACAAATACCAGTGTTCAACTATATTGTCTGTCATACTCCCACTTTCTAGGTAAAAAACATATACTCCTCAGCAGTGATTGTCGTTTTCATACTTTTTCCTGAATCTACAAATTTTTAAAAATTTATTTTTTTTATATTGAAATATATATATTTTTTTGAAAAGGGAATTAAAATTAAAAACGTTTTGTAAACAATGCAATTTGTAAAAAATTCAAAGATTCTCCACAAATCCTCCTTACTCTAGCCCTTTCTGGTACCTTTTTAAAATAACTCCTTGTCTTTTTCCATGAAATCTAAAACGACAATCCTGCTTCCATATTCAAAAGAGATTTTTGCTTTGTAACTTTTCTTATAATTTTGTCTTTATAAAATTTAGCGTAATTTTATTTCGTTTCGCTTAAATTTTTCCATTTCTCTGAAGCTTGTTTTTGTTATACAAGAATCTAAATGTTAAGATATGTTTTCATTCGTCATGAATCTTGTTTCTGTATCTCTAAATGTATTCTATTTGGAATTATAAATGTTAAGAAAAAAAAAATAAATAAAATGTTAAAAATAAAATTATTCAAATTTGTAAAAATTATTTATGAAATGAAAAGGAAAAAAAAATTGAATTTTTAGAAACTTTTATCTAGTGAAATTTAGATATTTATATGTTTCCTTTATTAACATTTCTTAAAATTAAAAAAAAAATATTTTTCAAAAAATATTATTTTTTTTTAATTTTTGATATTTTTTTTTATAAAAATTCGATTTTTTGAATTCATTTCTCTAACCTCTGTATTTTTATGTACTTAACAAAATTTTGTCTAAATAATTGCCATAAAATAAATCATATATTTACATGGAGCCATCTGACCAACAACAATAATAGCTGTGGCGGGGGTCAGTGACACAAATTGTTGTGCACCACTGTTTTCGATGTCAATGTCATTGCCGCCTTGTGGTAAGACTCGAACATTTTATGGCCGATACATTTCACTAGTTCAAGGTCAAATGGCTTCATTGTCAATAGATAATTAAATTAAGTACATATTTGGTTATGACAACGCAAGGAAGTTTTCGCCTCAAAAAAAAAGAATAAAAAAACAAAAAAAGGTTAAAAGACAAATTTAATGGATTTTGGCTGGAAAGATTTTAATAACTCATTAAGGAGTCCAATTAAGGATAAGACTTTTTAGAATCCCTTTTTTAAGGTCAAACTTTTTCTCCTACATCAATAATATTAAATTAAAAAAAATCGCCAAAATAAAAAATCACTACGATGATAACACTTTTTGAAACTCCATTCTTTCATAAAATCCTATTTGAGGTATTATTTCCTCTGTTAAACGAAGGGAAAAAATTTGTTTTTCAAAAATCGTTAAAATAAAAAATCGCCATAATGACAACATTGTTTGAAGCACTATTCTTTCAAAGAAATGACCGTTGCGGCATTATTTTCTTTGTTTCGAGATTTTAAACCATTCTTTTAAGGTCAAACTTTCCCGCCTACATCAAAAATATTAGATTAAAAAAAATCGCCAAAATAAAAAATCACTGCAATGATAACACTTTTTGAAACACCATTCTTTCATAAAATGGTATTTGAGGTATTATTTTCTATGCTAAACGAAGGAAAAAATCGTTTTTCAAAAATCATCAAAATAAAAAATCGCCATAATGACAACACTATTTGAAGCCGTATTCTTTAAAAAAATGACCGTTGCGGTATTATTTTTTTTGTTAAGAGATTTTTAACCATTCTTTTAACGTCAAATTTTTCCTCCTACATCAAAAATATTAGATTAAAAAAACGCCAAAATAAAAAAAACGCTGCAATGATAACACTTTTTGAAACATCATTCTTATTATTTTCCCATTATTGTCTGTGTTAAACAGAGAAAAAATGTTTTTCTAAAATCGTCAAAATAAAAAATCGCTATAATGACAACACTATTTGAGGCATTATTCTTTAAAAAATGACCGTTGCGGTATTATTTTCTTTGTTAAGAGATTTTAAACCATTCTTTTAAGATCAAACTTTTTCTCCTACATCAAAAATATTAGATTAAAAAAAAAAACGCCAAAATAAAAAAAACGCTGCAATGATAACACTTTTTGAAACACCATTCTTTCATAAAATCCTATTTGAGGTATTATTTTCTCTGTTAAACGAAGGGAAAAAATTTGTTTTTCAAAAATCCTCAAAATAAAAAACCGCCATAATGACAACACTATTTGAAGCCGTATTCTTTAAAAAAATGACCGTTGCGGTATTATTTTTTTGTTAAGAGATTTTAAACCATTCTTTTAAGGTCAAACTTTTCCTCCTACATCAAAAAATATTAGATTAAAAAAAATCGCCAAAAATAAAAAAAATCGCCGTAATGATAACACTTTTTGAAATACCATTCTTTCATAAAATGCTATTTGAGGTATTATTTTCTCTTTTAAACGAAGGGAAAAAATTTGTTTTTTTTTTTTAAATCGTCAAAATAAAAAAACGGCATAATGACAACACTATTTGAAGCAGTATTCTTTAAAAAATGACCGTTGCGGTATTATTTTTTTTTGTTAAAAGATTTTAAACCATTCTTTTAAGGTCAAACTTTTTCTCCCACATCAAAAATATTAGATTAAAAAAAAACGCCAAAATAAAAAATCACTGCAATGATAACACTTTTTGAAACACCATTCTTTCATAAAATGCTATTTGAGGTATTATTTCCTCTGTTAAACGAAGGGAAATTTTTTTTTTTTTAAATCGTCAAAATAAAAAAAACGCCATAATGACAACACTATTTGAAGCACTATTCTTTAAAAAAATTACAGTTGCGGTATTATTTTCTTTGTTAAGAGTTTTTAAACCATTCTTTTAAGGTCAAACTTTTTCTCCTACATCAAAAATATTAGATTAAAAAAAACGCCAAAATAAAAAAAAACGCTGCAATGATAACACTTTTTGAAACACCATTCTTTCATAAAATCCTATTTGAGGTATTATTTTCTCTGTTAAACGAAGGGAAAAAATTTGTTTTTCAAAAATCCTCAAAATAAAAAACCGCCATAATGACAACACTATTTGAAGCCGTATTCTTTAAAAAAATGACCGTTGCGGTATTATTTTTTTTGTTAAGAGATTTTTAACCATTCTTTTAACGTCAAATTTTTCCTCCTACATCAAAAATATTAGATTAAGAAAAATCGCCAAAATAAAAAAATCGCCGTAATGATAACACTTTTTGAAACACCATTCTTTCATAAAATGCTATTTGAGGTATTATTTTCTCTTTTAAACGAAGGGAAAAAATTTGTTTTTATTTTTTAAATCGTCAAAATAAAAAAACGGCATAATGACAACACTATTTGAAGCAGTATTCTTTAAAAAATGACCGTTGCGGTATTATTTTTTTTGTTAAGAGATTTTAAACCATTCTTTTAAGGTCAAACTTTTCCTCCTACATCAAAAATATTAGATTAAAAAAATCGCCAAAATAAAAAAATCGCCGTAATGATAACACTTTTTGAAATACCATTCTTTTACAAAATCCTCTTTGGGATATTATTTTCTTTGTTAAACGGAGACAAAAAACATTTTTCAAAAATCGTCAAAATAAAAAATCGCCATAATGATAACACTGTTGTAAGCACTATTCTTTAAAAAAACTAACCGTTGCGGTATTATTTTCTTTGTTAAGAGATTTAAGCCATTATTTTACAAAACCCTCTTTGGGGTACTCTTTTCTTTGTTAAACGGAGAAAATCATTGTTTTTCAAAAATCGTCAAAATAAAAAAGACCATTGCGATACAGCATTGTTTTACAAAGATCGCTAAAATTAAAAATCGCTAAAATTACGAATCGAAATAAAATCATAATCAAGCGAGTAGACTTGATTGTGCCAGCAAGGAAATGTAATTTTAAATTAAAAAAACTTAAAAAATCGCCAATATAACAGCTCAGTTTGGTGCACCGTTAAAGGTTTTAAAAATCGTCAAAACATTACAAATCACTGTAGTGGCATTACTGTTTACAGCCTGTAGTGACATTATTGTTTTTTCTTTTTTACCGCCATTTCATTATTATTTTACAACGATTTGAGAAGAAAACGGATTTAAAATGACCAATTAAAAAATCGCCAAATCTAAAAAAAATCACAAGATGGCAACACTTTTTCAAATTCATTCTTTTTTGAACATAAATCAGCTTGAACGTCGAATGAAATCCTTGTAGACGTAATTCCAAATGCTAATTTTAAACTAAATCGTCATTTATAAAAAATCGCCAAATTGAAAAAGTCGTCAAGATCTCAATACTACTTGAATACAACTGTTTTAATAACACGTTTACTATATCAGTAGAAAAATGCGATTTTCAATGTTTGGTTTTCAAAATCGCCAACTTTCAAAAAAAAAAAAAAAAACGCAAGATGGCAACACATTTTTAATTGATTTCTTATTGAACGTTAATCAGCTTGAAAATCGTATTATGACCCATAAAAGTGATTTCAAATACTAGTTTCAAAATAAATCGTAAAATTAAAAAATCGCTAAATCCAAAAAGTCGCGAGTATTTAAATTAAAATCATGTTTTATTGAACACAATTTGACTTGAAATTCACATTATAACGCCATAGATCTGATTTCGAATGCTAGTTTCAAAATAAATCGTCAAATTAGGAAAAAAGCGCCAAATCGAAAAAGTCGCTAATATCTTTTACATTATTTTTTTTTAATAAAAATGGCTCGAAAAGCGTATTATAATCGCATAAACGTGATTTCAAATGCTAGATTTAAAATAAACCATAAAATAAAAAAATCGTCAAATTGAAAAGTTTGGAAAAATTATTAAAATACATTGTTTTTTAAATGAATTAGTTTGTAAAATCACATTTTAACCCCGTATACGTGGTTTCAAATTTTAGTTTCAAAATAAAAAATAAATAACGCCAATTCCAAAAAGTCGGTTAAATTCTCTTTTTTTTAAATAAATTGTTTTCAAAATTACATTAAAATTGTTAACAACATAAACGTGATTTTGAATGCCAGATTTATTAAATTTAAAAATTTATTAAAAAAAATGTAATTATGGTAACACTATTTACTTATTAGTCTCCTTTCCACTCTTGTTAAAAAAAACGCCATTATGGCAACACTGATTACTTAGGTCTCGTTTCTTCCATTTTCACTGCCTACCCACACATTGCGCTTTCTTGTTAGGCAATCCCTACCACAATATAGAAATCGTCAATTTGTTAAAAAAAATCGCCATTATGGCAACAATACTTCCTTATGTGTGTCTTTTTTCCTCTCCTTCTGTCGTTTATATTCACGTTTTGTTTTACATTCCGTCATTATGTTGAAAATCGCTAATTTAAAAAAAAACGCCATTATGGCAACACTGATTACTTAGGTCTCGTTTCTTCCATTTTCACTGCCAACCCACACATCGAGCCTTCTTGTTCAGCATTTTTTACCACTCACTTGTTATCGTCAATTTATTAAAAAAAACGCCATTATGGCAACACTACCTTCTAATGAGTCTCCTTTCCACTCTTTCTGTTGTTTATATTCACGTTTTG